TCTTGGTGAATTTCATACCGAAACTAATAATTAGTTAGTTAGTATAGGTACAAATTTGTTAAATACCATTTTATTTATATATTTCTACCTTGAACAAACTTGGGACCGTACTCTCTTTCCAAAACCGTTTCCTATTCTTCATTGGCAAGAAACAGTTCCCTTAAAATGTTGGAAACATAATATAGTATCATGTTCGCTTACTTCAAAAACTCACATTCCTGAAATATAAATATCATTAAGTTCCAAATATTATGTGATTCAAGAAAAAAAGTTCACCTTGATATCCAAGGAATATGGCGTGAACCCATTGACGCCTCAGGATTTGAGGCTCAAATTCACAACAGTGGGGATTGGGGAAACCATGTCTTGATAATTCAATTACACCTTCACCTCCTGGAGTGCGCAGTTTTCAGATGACATTGCAAAATAACACAATCGCACTCACAAACCAATCAACAAACTCTGATAGAAAACCAATACTAGAAGAAATGATTAGGTATAGGTATAATTGTAATTTCCAAGAAAGGAAATCAAAGTTCAACACATCCACAAAGACGAAGTTATAAGTTGATGACAGCTGTCAGAAAATAATTTTATGATTACATGAATCTTCTCCATCGTCTTCCTATCAAATATCACGTCAATGATGGAAAGCACGTCTGTGGTTGAGTACATATTGGAGAAAAATAGAGGAAGAGGATATCAACCTAATATGGTCTATTTTGACAGAAACAAATGAGCTTTTTCCATTTTCAGGATGCCAGCGCCACTTGACAGGCAGACAGATTTTGATTCAAAGAACAAACAATATTGTACCTCCTCGCGTACTTGGTCGCCTACTAGGTTTTCATTTAGCGATCGACAATGCCCAAACTATATTGGGCCCAAAATACTCAATCATCTACCTGACATTTAAAAAAATAGTGATTCTATATCTTTATTCAAACGTCGGCTTAGGACTTTTTCAGTAGATAAAAGTTTTTACAGTGAAGGAGAGTTTTTCTCATTATGAATCATTGATTCTGACAATTTGACTATTCCTATATAATATTTGTATTATCAGAAGGAAAATGGATGATTCATAATCATTATTGTTATCATTAAGGATTTAAGTTTTCAGGACTACTTCTATTCTATGAACGGGTTTTGGTAGAGCGTTGTTCGACATATTTTACGGTTGACAACGAAAGGATGTGCTGACTGGGCCTGGCGAGTTCGCCTGACTGGTATTGCTACTGATGGAATGATAGCAGGTATTCCTAACGAACATTTTTCCCGAATGCATTTATAGGTCGCCGACATTTCTGCGGTGTTCTTATGAAATCAAAGTATTACTGATGAGCGTGGCATTACCCTCCATGCAAATGGCTCTTTCTGGGTGGTATCTAAGAGCATTATCAGCATATATTATGTTTTGGTGCTAAACTCCATATGTGTGAACAGTATTTCAAAAGTGGTCATATATCTGTGCTTTCTAGATCATGAGAAGCTGTTGAGGTGTGAAGTATATTTTCGCACGGAATGAATGTCGAACTCACCCATTTTACACCGTTTAAAATATCAATATGGAATCATCCTCACATAAAAACCTCAAAGTAGTACGATCAGAATATTTTTGAAATTCATTGTCACTGTAATAATTATAAATTGGTACCCCAATTTGCGTAATGATGCATCCTAATTATCGAAATTACCAATTTAACCGTTTCATGTTCATTAACCAGAATTTTTCTTCCAACCTCATTAGGTTTTTATGTTATTGTATAAGTAAACATTCGTATATATTGGTGATATCTGATTGATGGGCACAAACAAATTGGTCCATCAATGTAACGTTAATTTAGGCGACCAGGATTTTCCAATTTACATGCAATTGCTACGTCGTTTAGTGCTTTTACCGAAAACTCTCTTATACAGGGCGATCCTTCACACCACAGCGGCGCACCGTGCTCACTTGGCCATTCTGGTGAGGGCACTGGAATACCCTCAAAAACTGAAAATATCTATCTAATTCTTATCGGAAATGATTCAAAATTATCAATGATACCCTCAACTTCTTGAGTCAATTGATCTTCCCAGATCACACAAATACCTTTCGAGGCCTTTTTGAGGCCCTTCTGAGGCGTTAACGATAATATCCTCAGGACGTCGAGAGAGCCTGAGGACGTTCCTAGGCCATCCCCAGGCAACCAGATGACGTTCCAGTGACGTCTTGTTTACGTCACTTGAATGACCAAGGTGACGTCAGTAGTTGACGTCGCATTGACGTGATAATGACGTGAATAAGTCACAGCCCAATCACGTCATATTACTCACGTCGTATTGACGTTTTTCTACAGCTTTTTGGTTATATTAATTATTAGAATAAAACTTGCATGTTTATTCGCTTTCATGAGTTATACTTCTGTTTCACATGATAATATATAAATATCCATGGTTTAGAGAAGGTCTGGGAAAAATGGACGTCGACAGGACGTCCCTGCAACGTCATGAAACTGACGTCTTCTTTAACCCATCTAAGTGACGTTCACTCAACGTCGAAACGATGACGTGATTATCACGTCATAGAAAGTCCGTCATAGTGACAGCATAAATTGGTGTGTGACGGCTCTGACGAAAAATCACCAATTAGGGACGTCACAGTGACGTGATCATTCGTCATCTGGTTGCCTGGGATCCTTCTGTTTACAATATCGACGTCCTAATAAAGTCTCAGGACATCCTTTCTAAGTCTTCTGACACTTGCATGGGACAATATAGGATCAAACCGCACAGCACATGACATCCATTGGACATCCATTTCAGGTCCATTTCAATTCCAAACGTCCATGGACAGTATATGGACATCTTATGTACCTACAAGCATGGATTATCATAGGATGATTCAAATTGTTTGAACAATGAACGTTCACTCAATGTTATGTCGAAGGACTTGAACTCTCATGGACGTTCGATCAACATCCATTGTACGTACAAAGACGGACGTATATTGAATGATACAAATTCAACTTCCATTGGATGTCCATTCAACGGCCATTTTAAGTTCAAGCATCCCTAGATGAAGAATGAATAATCACGGCCAGCAATGGTATTCTGTCTCAAACAACGATATTGTTTACCTTCATTTGATTGTCAAGCCAAACACAGTGGATTATGGAGGAAAATGAATAATCGCTATTATCATTGTTGATAGGCTCAATAACCTAACATTTTCCACGTCTTTTTCCTATACCTGGCACAGGCTCGGTATTTGCTATTAGGGCTGACATCTGGTCAATACAGAAATGGTTCACTCTGTGGTTGCAACAACAATTCAAAAATTCTTGAAAATTCAATAAACCTGATCTGTTAATGCAGGAAGAAGATTCTCACCACACGTATTATTTGATGCATTGCATACATATGGCAGGGCATTTGTGGTTACTTCACATATTTATTTCAGTTGTTTCTCTTGGTTGCAGAAAAGATAGAGTGTTCCATTGGGATAAAGAGTGACTTTGTTTGACTCGAAAATTTTCCATTTGCGAGGCGGAGCGTCTAGCGAAGCCTTGTCAAACAAGGTGTCACTTTTGATCCTGACAAAACAATCTTCTATTTCTCGCAAGGTTACAGGAAGAGGATATATTCACTTGATGTTTTCTTTCGAAATATAATCCCGATATAACATATTTATACCGAATCTCACACGTGCATGAATTGATTGCGGGAAATTGGTCTCGTTCATGAATTTTCAAGGCAAATTATCCCTTGTCGCATTCATATTTTGAAAAAGTTTTTGGCAATAATAATTCATTCCCTATAGGAAAGTGAAAATTCAATCACATAAGGCATTACTATCGATCCTTCAACTTCCTTTTATTGTATATTTTCTTGACCTAGGGTTTGGATTGTATATGTCGATGATATTTTTGCTATTTTTGATATGAAAACCACAGAGATATAGATAACTTTATTTCAAAATTGAATAACTGCTTCCCCTTTATCAAATTCACTTATGAATGCGAAAATTATGGCAAATTACCTTCCTTAGATGTTCTCGTTATCAAAAATAGCGAAAACAACTTAGAATTTGGTGTATTTAGGAAAGGAACTAACACATTTAGATACATACTTAATGACTCTAATCACTGTTTTCAACACAAAATAGCAAGTTTAAATTTTCTAGTACATAGAGTAATTTCATTCCCTCTGAGCAAAGAAAGATTCGATGCTGAAAGAAGTGTTGTTTATTAAGTGGCTGGCGTCAATGGCTATGATATCAAAATAGTAGATAAATCAATACGTAGACATGAATTTAAGTTAACACTTCAAAATTCTACGACTTTTCGAGTGGATAAAAAGAACTCTAGAAGAATCCCAATCCCGTTCTATGCCGAGTATACGAAGGGACTTGATGAGGTTTTCAAAGACTTTTGGTTTTGAAAGCGTTTGTCTGGGTCAAAATTAGGCAACCCGAAAGATAAAGTGGACACACTTGAGAAGTTGGGAATAAACAAAATGAGCTGTGATGATTGTGATAAAACATATATAGGCCAAACCAGACGACCCATAAAAACAAGGTTCAAAGAACACATAGCACAATTGAAATATGGTAGGTTAGATAAATCGTGTATAGCCGAACATATGTTCATTCACAATCTTAACACACACATTACTAACCTCAAATTAGTTAAGCAAGTTAATGATATCAGAAAATTAGACGCATATGAAAGAGATGTTCGAGAATAGTAATAGAGTAATGAATGAGGATAGTGGACCTATTCCATATATATCTCAGTAACATGAAACATAGCGAAACACGTGACGAGGCATTTAATAAATCGGTTTGATCAGTGGTAAAAACAGTGTAGAGTAAAAATAACGTCTATATATGGGTGGATATTACCCTGTACTTGAGAAGCCACTGGTCTCTGCACATCAAAGAAATTGAATTCTATCATGTCCGACTTGATTTATTGAAGTAGTAGGTATTTATTGTAGATTTATTATGTGAAATGTTCAGATAGGGAGTAAGGTATTTGTAAAGCAATCAAGTGTTCATCAGATGAAGAGGAAATAACATAGTACCTGCTACATTTGGTGAGTTAAAATTCCATTGGAACAATAGTAACACAAAAAACACTTTTTGTACTTTCGGAGTTAGGTGAAGTGGAAACATGGATCGTATACAGGGTAACTCACGGTCGATGGTGCGTTAGACGTTTATGGAGAACGGGACATAGGATCATTCTGAAATTTTGGTTACTCACGTAGTTGCTCTTGGTCTATCGATCTAAAATATCTGCTCTGCAGCGTTGCCGCTTCTATCGAAAAGTAGCAACAACTTTGTTATTTTAAATGGAACACCCTGTATTTTATTGCATTTTCAGATTCTCTCTGGAGAGCTGATTTCATTGATGTAACACACTTGGGGTCTAGCGAAAATGAATACAGAGATATAGGGTGTGAAAAATCGTCATTTTTCAACTTAAGGAATTTTTTTTGTCGAAACTATTCATTATTGGTCAAACCGGCTTTCATGTCCTCATCTCAACTTTTGATTAACTTTCTACTGATATTTAAATGGGACATATACCGGGTGATCAAGATTCTGAATTCTGCACGACCCTGTATTTGTTTCAATTAAATGTCAGTAGATAGGTGATCAAAAGTTGGGATAGGGACATGTGAGCCGTTTTGACTAATAATGAAAAGTTTCGATAAAAAAAATTCTTAAAATTGAAAAATGTCCATTTTTTCACACCCTTTATCTCTGTAATCTCTTCCGCTAGACCCCAAGTGTGTTACATCGATAAAATCAACTCTTCAGAGAAAATCTGGAAATGCAATAAAATACAGGGTGTTCTATTTAAAATAACAAAGTTGTTGCTACTTTTCGATAGAAGCGGCAACGCTGCAGAGCTGAAAATAATTTAGATCGATAGACCAAGAGCAACTACGTGGGTAACCAAAATTCCAGAATTATCCTATGTCCCGTTCTCCATAAACGTCTAACGTACCATCGACCGTGAGTTACCCTGTATATTTATTGGGTGACAAAAAAAAAGTTGTAGATTGCAGATGAGTTGTTTGAACTGGAAGACCAGTCGATCACTGTCACCTGAAAGATCTATTGTGATTAGCCTTGTCCAATTTCAGTCCTATAACCCTAGACTTTTAATTAAGCCTAGGATTATACTTGCGGTAGAATTTTCCACCACAGCAGGCGTCAGATGGATCTGTTATAGGTGATTCTCGATTGGGAATACAATAACTTGGTAGATTTCAATGCAAACAAAACACAAGAATGCCTTTTTTCTCTAGAAAAGCCGATCTCACTGTGCCCAACATGAGCTTGTCAGGAGTAACCATACCTTTAAAGACATCCATTTGGATGCTCGGAATTACTATCAGCAATAACCTTTCTTGGGAAATTCACGAGAGATCAATTGCTAAAAGTGCACCCCAAAAACTTGGTTTTCTGTTTCGGGCCAGGAGCTATTTCACTTCCGGTCAGCTGCTTATGATCTATAAGGCACAGATTCGACCTGTCCTGGTATACGGTTTCCATATTTGAAGTGCAGCATCCAAACATACCCTGAAACAGTTGGATTCTGTTCAAAAAAGGGCAATTCGTCTCGTGGGCGATGCCTCGCTCACAAACTCACTCACTTCTCTGGAACACCGTAGAAAAGTTGGCGATCTGGCCCTATTTCATAGATATTGTCATAGACTATGCTCTTCTGAAATATTAACAATTGTTCCTTTCTTGGCAGCCCCCGCGAGATTAACTCGTCGAGTTGAGGCTTCGCACCCCTTCGTGGTCACTTTGGAGACCTGCAGAACATCTCTCTCCAAAGACTCGTTCATCCAACGAACAGCGAGGCCATGGAACACATTGCCGAGCGAGATGTTCCTTAAGGCATATAACCTCCAGAAATTAGAGAAGAACACCAATTCCTACCTCATTTCGCTTGGTTCTCACGATGTTCTCTGATCATTACAGGATATCCCTTTTCGTGGGAACTAAAACATGATGATGGTCATTAGGGAGCTGACTCCTAGGAGTATACCTTCAATCCAGCTCATGTCAGTGAGTTGCCCAGGGCAGAAAAGAATGATCGTCGGTTGCTACCTTGATCTCTCTACTCAAGCATGTTTGTGTTGGAAAATAAAAATGAAGAACTTTGAGAATTCTCTGTATGAGGGGTGAGATAGGTTTGGAATGATGGGATAGGTGTGGAAGGGTGATTGGGATCTAATAGACTGATTTGGTATCGGTAAAGAGACTAGTTTTGTTCACCGATAGGCGTGCTAGGTTGTCTAGGTCCTGCTTCATGGTAATGATCCGATCATATCATGCTCCGATAGTCGTTCAGCCGGGCCACATAGCGTTCAGTCTATACGTCCACCGTTCTCGTTCAATTCAGCTTCTCGGCTGTTTGTTGCCTAGAGTTAGTCTATAAGGGATAAGGGGAGGGGGTGAGTTATTCAGGGGGTTCCCTGAATTCATCGCTGGCCTCATATATCAGCCCATGTTTCCTACAGATATCATAATCTGTCCTCATTCTCGTGATATCTCTCGTGAGTCTGCTATTCTGAATGTGATGTTCATAGAATTTATTTTATATGTCTGCCAGACCCATCTTGTTTCTCTTCATGCTCTGGTTCCCACGAAAAAGGTTATCCTGTAATGTTCAGAAAACATCGTGAAAACCAAGGGAAATGAGGTGGGAATTGGTGTTCTTCTTAAATTTCTGGAGGTTATATGCCTCGGGGAACACCTCCCTTGACAATGCGTGAAAAATATGTCAGAATATTGGGGCCTGTACAGGCCCAAGTATCCACAATTTGCAAGTTTTCAAAATGTGCGTACCTAGCACATGAACATCACATCGAATTACTTGCAAGCCTATAAAGAATGAATAGGTTTATTTCAGGTATTTTACTTGGTGGCTACATAGTGTGATCATTTTCGATATAAAAGACTATTGCCCTGATGCTCATGTAGGCGTTTTTAGATGTGCAGACATTTCAACATTAACTATTAAGTATAGGTAGGTACCTCTATATTCAACCTTTTCATTCTTTCCTATAGATGAGAGAAATTCAATAATCAACGAGAGCTTTGATTGTGATTTTCTGACCAGCAGAAGATTCTGGAAGCATTAAAAATTGGTGAAGAAAAAAGAGAAACCAATGAATAGAATTCCGAAAAAGAACAATTCAAACTAGAGCTTATTGAACTCGTTGATAGTATAGTCACATTTATAGCGATGAGGAGGGAGAAAACCAGTATGGCATTTTCCGACAAGTTACCATCTGAAACGCATCAAAATAAAAAAGTTACTCAACAGAGACGTTTATACCGAACAATCAAAAAAGCTGTTCCTATATAATAAACGACTTATTTAGTAATAAATTAATCCATCCAGATGATATGGACGCCGATAATATCGCAATAAATCTGATGTATCCACCAAAAAAATTAATTAATAAGTAAATAAGTTGTGTTTATTGTGTCAATTTTGTCCTGATATAAAAAAAAAACATGTAAGGCCTTTGCAATGTTTAGCTCTCGCAATATAAGCATCTCATTCGGAAAGAAAAAAATTCTTTGCATAATTTTTCCAAAACATTACACTCGATCACTTGATACTCATGGATTATTATTATGTTTTTAAATTTGGCGCGTGCTCTGCATCAGCGTCGACGTCCGACCATGATCGGACATCATCGGATGCAGAGAGCCTCCGGTGTTTATAGACGCTTGTTGAATAAACGAGTCTTTGGAGAGAGATGTTCTGCTGGTCTCCAAAGTGACCACGAGAAGGTGCGAAGCATCGAGAGGTTAATCTCACGGGAACTGCCAACGGAGGAACAATATTTCAGAAGAGCCAGATCGCCAACTTTTCCACGGTGTCCCAGTGAACAGTTTGTTTGGACAGAATCCTGGTTTGTTGAGGCTGATTAGGTCTTTAGCTTGGTTTAGCGAATGGTTCATAAACCTTTTCGATTGTCGTTCAATTGAAGTAGAAGGACTTTTCGGTCTCTTTCCATTTCCTGAGATCTGTCATTGAGAGACATCTGCTTGTCCCATAGAGAAGATCAGTACCAAAGAATGCTAATGTTTTTTGCAAGGTGATCAGCTACCTCATTCCCATTCCTTCATGCCCTGAAACCCAGATAAGAGTGACTTCGTTGTCCATTTCTAGTGGTATTAGTATTTCAAACCAATCCCATGCAATCTTTGGGAAATAAGAGTGAGAGTAATGAATTTCATTTAGGTAATTACATATTTTCATGATAGATAATATACATTGAGTCCTAAATGAGCAATTTTGAAGGCTACCCAAGCAGAACACTCAGACGTTGGCAATATTCATACCTTGAAGAAATTTTTGAATAATAAAGCAAACACTGATAGTGTAGTGAAAATAAAAAAGAAAATGAGAATATGAATAGTACGAATTTGTAGTTGTAAAGAGGGCTACTGAAAGGAAAAAGTGATTGCCAAACAGAAAGGTGAGGCTGAATTGTTTAGCTCATTTAAAATAGTACCTCCAGCAATATGTGGTTTGCATCTGTAATTCACAGAGAACTTCGATTACGGAGCCAGTTCATACACAGTTTTCATCAAGTCATAATTTTGATTCACATATCCTGCCAATTTTGGCTTAAATTTTTGTTCATTGGAGAGTCTCTCGAAAACATTTCAGGGATGCTCATAAGGAGGCAACCAAAGGACGAAAAAAACAAGTTCAGGATTGTTTTTTCAACTTGATATGATTTATGTAGGAATAGGGTTTATCAATTTTGGGCCAGGAATTGTATAAATCTCCCAGTGCGGGTTTTCTACAGAGAGAAACATTCGATTTTTGATAAAATTCAGCTAGGGTTCCATAATTTTGATATATAGAGGGAGTTGGGTTGTTATGCATCCAAATAGAATGCAATTGAATTAGCTTGATTATTTGTATAGTGCCACAGTGAAGTATGCATCACGTCTAGATTATGGAACAGGTTTTTGCTGAAACCACCCTTTATTCCCAGTTAGCACAGGATATCTTATGGATATCCATTTCAAGTCCTATTCAAGGCGGGATATCCGTGGACATGAAATGTACATCCATAAGATATCCGATTGCGGATGTACTTGATATATCCGAAACAAACGTCCTGAATATGTCCATAGGATATCCATAAGATACAGAGACAAAAGATCAATACCTAGAAATTTCAAATCAAGTATATACAATGAATGAAATGATAAATAAATAGAAGGAGATCCACAAAAGTAACACTTGTGCGTGGATCTTCCAAAAGATAGCACACATTGTGATGCACTATCTGCTATTATAATTAATTCGGTTTTCAACGCGAACAGCGCGATTTATAGATCATCGATTCTACCAACCTTGGAGTAATCAAATGATGTCAATATGTTCTCATATTTGTAATTAATTTGAAGTGAATTTGGAAGTGATTCCTACGAATTCGTCCAAAATTGATGGTGCATAAGAACTGACAACTACATTATTCGAACGCAGTGAGACGTGAGTGCTTCCCAATTTTTGTGATTCTTTCTATATATAGGGAAAACTATCTCATTCATATCCATATAGTTGATATCTTATGATGGATGTCCATAATGAATATCTTTAAGACATCCAAAAAGGTCACACTGTCACATTCTATGGACGTCCATAGGATATACCAGAGCCTTTTCGGATTTCTTATGGACATCCACAATATCCATGATGGATATCCATAGTATATCCATAAGATGTACTTGTGCTATCTGGGTTATGATGCAGTACATCAAAAATGATTCGGCCAGTGAGTTATAAGAGGTGTTTTTGAAATAAGTACATATATATTCAGCACATTGATGATATACAGTCGTCTAACGAATATTCCCAAGATTTCTGATTTTCTTCAATTTTTCTAGTCAACGAGGAATTTCATCCCGAAATTTCAACAAAAAACGAAAGAAATCAACGCCACTTTGAAACAATTTGAATGATTGAAGTTCGCGTGATTGTGCCTACTGCATGATAATTTGAATAGAGGTGACGTCTGAATTGCAACAGTGTAGAACTTTGAGGAGGGGAAAAGTGTCTCACCCCAAATTTTATTTTGATTTATATCATCTCCATTTTTGAATGTATCACATATTGACATTCATCATACAGGACGTGAAAAGAAATTCTGAATTAAGGAAACCTAATCACGAATCTGCGATTGAGGTCGATATGAATAACGAGTTTCCATCCAAGTTTGAACCCCTTGATTGGGTGAAAGTATTCAAAAGGAATATTCTCAGATATACAGTGTCTTTCAAAAGTATCGGAACGGTCTCATATTTCAGGAACGGCTTGAGAAAAATTCACTAAATTTTCTATATACAGGGTGATTATTGATGATGTCCGATTCAATGGTGGCATCGGCAATGTTGCCAAGTTTACAGTTTTTCAGATATTAGGAGTAACTTAATTTTTTCAAATGGAATACCCCATTTATTTTTATTGCAATTGATTAAGCGCCTCCTAATCACCTGAGTCCCTGAATATCAGATTCGTAATTGACGTGATTTTCGAATATGACAACATAGCATTTTCGTTAAAAAGTTCTGGAACGGTCCCATATTTCAGAAACGGCTCAAAGAACATTTATGAAAACTCCGACAGGATGGTTGTTGATGATGCCCAATTCAATGGTGATATCGGCAATGTTGCCAAATCAACAGTTTTTCAGATATTCAGGGTAACTAAATTTTTTCAAATAGAATACCCTATTTGTTTTCATTGCAATACATTCAGCGACGCCTCATTACTCATGTCTCCAAATATCAGATTTTAAATTGAAGTGGTTTTCGAAATATGACATTTGAAAAAATTGAGTTACCCCAAATATCTGAAAAACTGTTGATTTGGCAACATTGCCGATATCACCATTGAATCGAGCATCATCAACAACCATCCTGTCGAAGTTTTCATAAATTTTCTCTGAGCCGTTTCTGAAATATGGGACCGTTCCGATACTTTTGAAAGACACTGTACATATGAACACAACCACAAGCGATCCTTAAGGGCGATAATCCTTGGATGATTTCAAAGAGAAAACGTCATATCAACATATGTCCTAAACCTCTTAGTTATTGAGCTACAGAGTGATGAAATTTTAAGAAAAAAATGAGTTTTTCATCATAATTTTTACCACTGTTTGATATTGTTATGATATTTTGTATACACCTTTTCATTATTAAGGAGCATTTTTTTACGTGAAAGATATTCAAAAATTCTCACCAGTGGCGTCCGTCCGGGGTTTGAACTGACAATTTTTGAATAAAAAAATAGTACGCCATTGATTTTTCTGAGAACCATTTTTTTCTCAATTCTCATTCATTTCAAAGCAAATATGGTTCCTAGACTAACTTCCATACAACGTACCGTTTTCGCGTTGAAAAATAAAAACCAAAGAATTTTGTTCCTTCAGTTCTTGGATATTGTTTTTGGTAATTCAGTAGACACCCACTATAAGTGGAAACACATTTTGTTTTGAGACGAAAATCAAACTTTCACTTCTACCAGTGATGTCCTCGTAGACCTGATATTGAATGTTTAGATTAAAAAACGCTGTACGCTTCTGATTTCAACACCCTGTAGCTCAAAAACTGAGAGGTTCAGGACATATGTTGAAATGAACTTCTCTCCTTGAAATTATCCAAGGATCATCGCCTTTAGGATCAGCATTCAATTATGAAACACCCTGTATATAAAGAAATACATTGAGAATTCGCTTTCTCCATGTGGTGAAAATATCAATTCTTTCTTGGTTTATTCAACAAAAAACAACTTCTTTCCTTGCTATATGCCACGATGTTCATTCAAATTTTGGTTTCATTCAGTGTATACGAATGTTCCACACGAAGAATCAACTGTGCTAGCGGAACATGTCGAGTTATTGAGACTTTGGTGGTTACCTTACCGTTTGTTAATGCAAGTTCTATATCCTTAGTTGAAAAATTTAATATTTGGTTGAGTTTTTGAATGCACTTTACTTCCTGAGTCTGAAGGATAATCATTCAACGTCAAAGATTTTTTCTTGTTGCCTACTGTTTTCCTTACCAAACATGTTTTTTATTTTCACATTAATTATATACCAAGGTTTTTTGTTTTTCATTCCAGGAATCGACACCGTCATAATGTTCTCAATCATTGTTGGGCTGGTCATAATGGCATCGACCATTTTCTATTATTTCTGCGTACGTCCGATGAATTATTGGAAAAGAAAAGGCGTTCATCAGGGATATCCGTCATGGTTATTTGGAGATATTTTACGTAACATTCTTGGATTGGAATGTTTCCTCATTACAGTCTATGATGGATATATGAATGCTGCTAATAAAAGGTGAAGAATAGAAAAACATTCATTGTGTGAATATCATACATCCACGAACATAATATATTATACATAGTCTGTCCAAGATAAGGTTGAACTGCATGGGGATCTCGAAAACGGTAAGAAATACGAAGTCGGTTAAATGGGGAAAAAGTTGCGCATCCGGAGGCTCATATTAAGAGCCTTCGAAAATTTTAAAAATTATTTTTAGTTTTTGAGTTATATCGAAAAAAGTGAATTTTTGGAATATCTGTTTTTTTTTTTTTTCGTTATTATTAGAGATACAGCAAAACAAAGAATACTTTTTTATAGCAACTTTTGATGATGTTCAACGTGGTGATACCGATTTTCCTATGCGACGTTTCGTATTCGTGGAACCTTCATCAACTTTTGTTTTTTAAATACGGTCCTGATAATTTTTTCACAGATTCTGAAAGGTTTTTCACTGTGAATTCAACCATGTATTATACAAAGTGGTTTATGTGTGTTTCGACCTATTTTCAGCCATCATCAATGTTTTTTCGAAATTCCAAAGAAAAATGCCATCAGTTCCACTTATTTTGAAGGAAAATTAGTCAACACACTAATACCTCATCAACTGGTTTCAATCAACAACCCATTTCATTTTGCTGAAACAAAAATTCCGTCCATAAAAATTCAGAATATGTCAAGCGCTAAAACCAGGCGATGACGAAAGGCGCAGGCCATTCTGATGTGAGTGGTATACCAGGAAATGTTAAAATTTTGCAGATTTCCCTCGAACAATCATCTGGACTGATGAAAGCATGGTCCCTAATCATGGTAGCTTCGATAGAAACAATACACATTATTGTTCACGAGAAAATGAACATTTATACATTACAGCGAGACACCAACACCGTTATGGCTTTAATATGGGGGTTTCAATATTTGGTACACGAATTATTGTTCCTTCTATCTACCATAAAACACAGCACATACAGGGTACGAGGGCAATGAAGAGGCAGACTCACTTGCCCGAGCAGGAGCAAACAAAGGTCTGAATGGCCCAGAACCCTTCTGTGGTATTGCGAAAGCTATACAAAAGACTATAGTATCAAATCATGGATGCAAACCAAATCTCAAGAATGGTGGAACAAATCGCCAGGAATGAGACAGGCAAAAGAGTTTATTAAAAAACCATCGCCAACATTCACAGAATATCTACTAAGCCAGAAACGAAGTTCAACTAGAATACTAGTGGGACTTCTCACAGGGCATTGTAGGCTCAACAAACACATGAGTACGATAGGTCTGACTGAAGAACTGCTGTGCAGGTTCTGTCAGGAAGAGGAGGAAACAGCAGTACACATACTTTGCCACTGTGAGGGCTTGTCAAGACTAAGGTTCCTTACGCTGGGTGAGGAAACACCAGAAGCCCAGAGATACACAGAGGGGATCTGAAAGCTAGCCTATGGAGTCTCATAGAGAAGACGGGGCTAGCCGAAGAACTCTAATCGATTTTGATGGCAGACACAATAGATCTGAAAAGGTCGCGGTGTGGAGGCAGATAGCCCGAAGGCCCCATTCTAAATCTAATCTAATCTAATAAAACACAGACTTCCGAACATTATAGAAATTCGCTTGAGAATCATCTTGAGGAAGCTCTGGATGATTTACCGATTGCGGAAGTTCAGAACTGTTGGTTTCAACAAGATGGCGCTCCGGTACATAATTCCAGAGAAGTCGGTGAGTTTTTATCCCTTGGCCGGCGCGGTCGCCTGATTTGACACAGCTGGATATTTTCTTAGGGGATATATCGAACTTTGTACACGCAAATAACTTTGATGATGAAGAAGCACTAAGGGACAGTGCCTTCGAAGCATTCAATAGAATAACTCCAGAAATGCTTAGCAATGTCTTAGAAGCAACTGTGAGAAGAGGATATCTCTGTTCAGAAAATGATGGTTATCATTTTGAACATTTGTTATGAATGTCTCTGTAGGTATTGTCAAAGTTAAGTTATTGAAGTAATTCGTGTAAGAATTCATCAACAATTTTAAACGCTGCATTGATGGAATAATGTAGTGAAATATTTTTCATTCACTTTTCAGTATTGAATTACTAATGCATCAAGTTTGACACTAAATGATCAGAAATAAGTGGAACTGATGGCTTTTTTCCTTTGGAAGTTCGAAAAAACATTGATGATGGATAGAAATATGTCGAAACACATTCGAATCACCTTGTATTGTACATGGTTGAATTCAAAATGAGAAAACCTTTCAGAATCTGTGAAAAAATTATCAGGACCGTATTTAAAAAACAAAAGTTGATGATGGTTCCACGAATACGAAACGTCGCATAAAAAAAATCGGTATCACCACGTTGAACGTCACCAAAAGTTGCTATGAAAAAGTATTTTCAGTTTTTCTGTATCTCTGATAATAACGGAGAGAAAAAATAAAATAGAAATTCCAAAAATTCACTTTTTTCGATATAACTCAAAAACTAAAAATAATTTTCAAAATTTTCGAGGGCTCTTGATATGAGCCTCCGAATGCGCAACTTTTTCCCCATTTAAGCGACTCCGTATCTCCTACCGTTTCCGAGATCCCCATGCTGTTCAACCTTATCTTGGACAGACTGTATACAAAAGGTGGTATTCGTTGACACGTTCTTCCATACCTCCACTTGTTATAGGTGGAAAGCTCAAATGATAAAATCTAGATAATAATCATGACACTTGATATATTTCAGATATTTTGGGATGTACATGTTTGCCAAGCCATTGTTGGTCATCAAAGATCCTGCCTTGGTAATGGAAATCACTGTCAAGGCTTTCGATAATTTTGCGGACCACCATGACATCATACCTACAGAAGCTGATCCTTTGTGGGCTAAGAGTCTAGTACAACTGAAAGGTAAGTTCAAACTTTGAGTATTCACACTAGTGAGAGGATCCATGCATATAGAAGCAATGAAGCCAAAATTTTCGTTTAGGAAGTGGCGGTTATCTTTTGGCAGGTGGGATGAACTATAATTTCAGCCCAGCCAGCAGGGTGACGTCAATTCTCGTCGAATCGACGTGGAAAATAGGTGTTCCAAAAACGTATCTGATAGACGTCATTTGACGTCATTTAGAGGTAACATCTGCACCAATCATGTTGTTTTATTCCGAAGAAATTACTCCATGAACTGCATATCCAGGACTCATGATTAAACGCTTATCTAAATGAAATAGGTACCTACCTTAGTAAAGGATTCACGTATACCCGACATGGATAAACCTAAGTGGTGAAATATGTAGAACAAATATTAATAAAAAAAACTGATAGAGATAACTTGGAAACAGATACCTACGATAGATTCAAAAATTTATTAAATGTATACGAATATTCCAATACCAGGTGCCTATACATGTTTTATATTGGCGCGCCACGTCAAGACATACACATGCTTATGATTATTCAATCCGTGCTCCGTGGCTTCGTGTGTCTTCGTTTCGTCGTACTATGCCATCGCTACGCTACCTCTATCGGCCATCGTCGTAGCACAGTTTGTCGTAATAATGCGCATGCTTGATCAAGTTCATCGAATGTTGTAATGGCGGATTCGTGATTTTGGGTCATTGAAAACAAGGATACTATGAAAAAGTGGGGTTCATCAAAATATATTGCAGTTCACTGGTTATTTTATCAATTCCACGCAGTGGAAATGTTTGTGGGAATACAATATTCCGAGGAAAGGCATTGCTCTCGTTCAGTAGAAGTGGTTGACCCCATGACGCCTTGTAAGGCTGCGAAGTGTAGTGGCCGCCTATCAAACAGCAAGATTTTTCAACAGGTCAATAATCAAGAAAGCCAAATCTACAAATAAAACTTATTGGAAGTTGTCCGATGTAGTGAGGTCGTTATTTGAAGAAGGTAATCTATAAATACCTTAAATCGTAGGTACAAGAGTAATTTGAGGTTATTAGGTTGAGATTCCTTTGAAACTTGACATCTTGGTTAATGTCTACATATACTATGGAATATAGTGAATTTTATGCTTATTATTTTTATTCAGATGAAGAATACCCATGTATAATTATGTGAACAAATACAAAATTTCCACAACTATTGTAACTACATCATTTGAACTGTTTTGCCAACCATCAAGGAATAGAGGATCATGGAAAAGTGATTTCGAGTTTCACAGTTCCTTGGTGATGTCGAAACCTGGACCTGATGCTTGGTAACTATTCGACGTGTAGACGACGTCGCTAAATGACGTTGTAGCGACGTCGCTAAATGACGTCGTTTCGATGTGACATATTGAGGTCACATTTATGTCTGTTTCCCGTCGATAATTTGGTGATCTTGACGTAATTGGTGACGGGTATATGACGTGAAATTGACGTGTGAATGCTAGCTGGGTGAATAGCTCACAAAAATAAAATAGAAGAATTTGGATTTATATGGACATTATTTAGATAGTTCCGTCTGTGAGACGATAATGGTTATATAGTGACAACGTTATATATATGAAACTTTAGTAGTTGAAGATAATGTTCATGCTCTTGCATAAAGAGACTGAGGTTCAACATATTTGGCATCACCAATTTGAAACCTATCGATTTCCAAAATATCTCATCTATTCCAACAAGAAAAAAGATGTGGATTGTAACCTTTAAGGGTGAGCCCCAAAAGACCCATTTGGAGTCGCAGTGAAGGGACGGTATGCGCCCCATACTCACATATGAAACCTAACTTACCTACCTAGCTCAGCGTAGCGATGCTAGAGATCAAACCAAGGCTTTCAATCTACTTCCCTGTCATTTGAGACATAATTTCTTTTCTCCAAATGCTATGAAACCAACGCTGTGAAATTTTTTTCCTAAAAACTTCATCATTCCGTGTTTCCCAAGGTCAGTGTCAATTTCAATTACCAATGTATTCATTCAAATTCCTTGGAATTTTTGGATCGCAACAAACTTTTCTTTTCCAGGCAAAGAAAGTAGTCTTTTGCAAACTGTCAAGTGACATATAGGAAAGCTACTCTCTATGCCGTTTGAAGAATATAAATATCCACAATACGAGTATTATTATCGTATAACGGTATGAGATGGGAAAATTTAATATAAATTTCAGAATTTAGTTATTTACCATTAATCAAGAAATAAGAATTGATCCATTATATGAATATAGCGTACTGGATCTTGAATTGCTTCGTTTGCTGCGATTCATACAGTGCTTTCCTTTATTGCCGTGTAGAATCTGAAATATAATGTTTTGTTTTTAGGAGAAGATTGGAGATTTATGAGACCCCTGATGAGTCGTTCTTTCTCGGTCAGCAAAATCAAAACGATGTACAAGTTGATGTCGGACTGTGCCAAAAACTTCGTCGATCATTTCAAGAACAGAATCGAAACATCGATCGAACTCAATGTTCTGGATGTAACGGCAAGATACACCAATGACGTCATCGCCAGCGTTGCGTTCGGAGTGACTGTGGATTCCATGAACAATCCAGATAATGAGTTCTTCCAGGTGGCAAAAAGGACAACAGATTTGACTAGGTTCTGGTTGAATCTGAGTGCGTTCGCAGCTTTAGTTCTACCTGGTTCCATAATGAAAGTGAGTAATTATCAAGTTTGATCAGGTGAGAATCAATAAATGAAAATTTAATAATGTTACACTCTGTGTTTTGCGGGATCCTGCTTCGCTCGTCCTGCAGAATCCGATCGTCACACTAAATGACGCGTTTCCTACCCACTATTAAGTAAATTTAGAAGCTATATGTTTATGGTAGCAAATACTGAAACAAACGTACAGCAACATTGCAAAACAAAATTCGTGAATATAACGTTCCAGCAATGTCACAGCAACATATGATATTGCTGCAACGCTACATTCACTTCACCTTTGCAATATTGCTGAACGTTGGTTTCAGTTATGGCGTCAACATTGCATCAACATAGCTCTCAACTTTCCTTAGTGGGTAACTTGTTACGTGAATATATATTCTTGTTGTAACAGGTGAATTTACCTTTTAATCGCATGTTCCAAATTCTGAAATATCTGCGGCACAATAATTTGGAGAGCAGGCACAATTTACACTAACTTTGTCATCGTTTTTCTCTTGAACCTATCGCTCGATTCCAATTTTATATTCACGAATTGTATCTTGATCCTTCACGAATACATCTAACTATCAACCGCCTTCAAACGATTTGTCTTTATATAATATAGAGGGATGTAAAGCCAGATCGGATTTTTTGATATTTTCAAGGCACCCTGTGGAGTGAACCACTGATGGTTGAAACGATTTCTCAACACCAAATTGTGGACTAATATATTCCGAATATTTTTATGTCAATTCTATTTCGATATCTCAATTATTACAGAACTTATGGAGTTTCATTGTCGAAGTCAAGCGATTGATAATTCGAAAGTCATGATTTTAATTATTGAAAAATTCAATATGGGAGATATGACTCCTATACTGATGTTGCGAGGGCAGTAGCATCAATTGAAAATGATAGATAGAACACTGATGTTGCTGATATGAAGGCAAAAGAAAAAGAACTTGATCTGAAAGTCCATAGAACAAAGAATTAAAGCTCTATGCAGCGAAGTTATCGCCCAACATTACCTTCACAAATGAGAGCCACTTCTGCATCAATTCAATGGATGGCAGGAAAAGACTACATCGCCACCGAGGCGAACAAGATGAACAATTTGATTTTACTGTTACTGTCTCCTATGACGGAGGTTCAGTGATGGTCTGGGGTGGAATATGTTTAGGAGCACGGACAGAGTTGATAATTGCTTATAAATGCGGATGACTCCATATGCATATAACAGCATGTCGAACCATTCCCCTTCCCCCCATATCGGCGAAAACTTCTTGTTGATGCACGATAATAACCGCCCTCACGTGGCTCGTTCAGTCTCCAACTTTTCAAATACAGTCAAATTAAGATCAATGAATTGGCCTGCATGTTATCTTCAGACCTTAATACAATAACATCTATATGAGACATATAAGGTTATAACCATTAACCCAGGCAACCAGATGACGAATGATCACGTCACTGTGACGTCCCTAATTGGTGAGTTTTCGTCAGAGACGTCACACACCAATTTATGACGTCACTATGACGTACTTTCTATGACGTGATAATCACGTCATCGTTTCGACGTCGAGTAAAGGTCACTTAGATGGGTAAATGAAGACGTCAGTTTCATGACGTTATGAGTATTCTTCAAATTGTTAATCAATAAGTTTATGTAGGTTCTGATTATTGTTGATAAAAGTTGAAAAATTAATATTCAGACGAACATTCCAGAACATAAATCTACGATATAATTGAAATTTCACAAAAATCGAACGAGGCTCAAGAAAGTTACAGGGTGAACAATTTGGGAAAATTTTTTGGTGACCGGTTTTTTCTGCCGGTTAGTGCATTTTGTTGATTTCGCAAAAGTCTTTTTTGATCAGAAAAAAAAATTGACAAAAATGATTTTGTTGGTGCAACATATCTTTTTTTTCTGTGTGGAATCGACAATTGAAAATACTTCCAGATATTCGGTTTGAGGTTTTTCGATGAGGATGTCAGGAAGTATTTCTTCAACGTTCTTCAAGATTCACTACGTATGGGGAAGGATTCTGGAACCCTCCGTTCACAGCTTATAGAGTCGCTTCTGGAGGCCCAATCAGCAGCAAAGAAAGGTATACTCATATTGAAAAATTATATGTCTCTGGCAGATAGTTCAGTTGGTCCAGTAAGAATTGATTGGAAAACAAAGTATTCGAGCTGTTGGCAGTTCTTGTAAATAATAGTATTTTTTCTGCAACCGACACAAAAGTCTTCCATTTTCATAACAAAATTAGCTCTCGAATTGACGTTTCTATTACTGACACAAATATGGGTATGTTGCTTGGCAACACTTTTAGTTCCTAGGAGCTGAAGTTGAACTTTGACTCCTATGAACTAAAAGTTGAACTTCAGCTCCTAGGAACTGAAAAGGGTGTACTTGAGGTCATCCAAGAATAAACAACATTGTTACGGTTGATTAATTGGGTTGGGACGCATACTTGATTTGTTTCCGATTTCGGCAGATTTGGCATTTCTCACCCATGCTGGAGATATAAATACACCATATATTATAGTTGAGTATTTTTGTTATTTGATCAGAATTCTGAATCTCAAACCACCCTGTATCTGTTCACTGCATAGCTGAAAATATTTTAAATGTAGGGAGCGTATTCTAGAATATGAGCATTTATATTTTCATGGTTTCCTCCCGTCTGATCATTGATATAAAGATAGTGTACCCAGACAGCACTGGATATTCCTAGAATATTCTCTAAATATGCTAAAAGGGAAGAATATATTCCGAATATCCTTCGAATATTCTTAGAATATATACGTGCCTCTGAAACATTCAAGGAATATTCAAATGTGAATATTCTAGTAATATTCAAAAATGAATATACAGGGAATATTCCAGAAGGAATATTCTGAAGTGAATATTCCTAGAATATTCCAGTTGGATAGTGCAGGGAATATTCAGTTATGAATATTTCAGGAATATTCCCAATTGAATATTCTGTTCCTGTATATTCATGGAATAATTCAATAATGTTCCCATGTGTTTCAATGAAATTGTAAAGTATTAAAATTAACCAATCACAATTTTATAGATGTGAGTATTAAACATTGATTTTGAAATCTGTGGTAGAAGTCCATCGTATTTCAAAGTGAAGTGGTTATGTTACCAGGGATCAAAAACAAAAAGTCGTCTCCACAATTTTGATAGTGATCAAAGTACTCAATCAGATCATCGTACATGTTAAGAGCCCATATGGAACTGGAAGTGTTTATGGTTCCCTTCTGAACAACGCAATTCAATAAATTGTTATGTACATTATTATTCAACTCGATTACTGGCCAAGTGGTTAGGGCGTTGATCTGACAGTCTGAAAGTCCCGAGTTATCGAGCCAATCTTGGGTCAGCTATTTTTAATTACGAATATGTATTACGGAATATTCCCGGAATATTCATTTATTTATATTCCTGTATTATTCCAGGAATATTCCGAATATTATCTGAATATTCCTAGAATATTATAGGTACATTCTGAATATATAGGGAATATTCCTTGTGTAATATTCCGGGAATATACAAAATTTTCCCCACCAGCACATTCAGGGAATATTCCATAGTTGATATGTATATCCTTGGCATGTTCATGAATATAATATCTAATGCTGTCTGGGTAAGCTCGTCGTGACATACTCTGTATACCTATTCGCATGATTCACGAAGTGGGCGACATCTAGTTTACATAATGCGAACTTCAAACTGGGGGAAAACAAACTGTCATCTATGGATAAAGTGCATAGACTACATTGCATTCAGCTTGCTGTAGCTGTAGTCATGATGAAAATAGACGCTGTAGTCAAACTTGTCAATGACATAAAGCACTATTGGTAGTGATAATGGTTGAGTTGGTGAATTTTTTTACATCATTACATTTTTATCAGTTTAGTGAACAGTGAACGGGTGAAGAATTGGAGATAGTTCAAACAATTCAAACTAATTATGATGAGCAAATCAATGTTCACAATACCCAGATTGTCCTGCTTTGCATAAACAAATACAAATCCATTGTTCTACAGAAGATCCTCTGGACCCCAACTTCAATTTTACTTCATGTGGGGGAGATTTAATCACTGAAGTTTGTAGACAAATTGCAAAAATGTGCCTTTTGTTGAAGTCTTCTGCCTCACACAAAATCACATGATTAGCACGGAACAACTGCTTATCCCCTTCCACTGCTAGTCGGCTTTTTCCATCTAAATAGAGCAAAATATTTGCCGACAGAACATCTACAACAGGCATTATTAGCGTTTTCCATCGAATATTGATAATTAATGTCACGAAATTTAAAAACTTATCACTCTTATCAGTAAGTACACAGGACACAAGCTAATGGCACTAATGGGATTAAGTGAGGATTGAGTTTGTTTTCCCCCAGTTTTGACGTGGATTTGACATGGAACGATGAAAACCGAGCGCCATCTGGTGACATTGATTTCCGCGAATATATCCCTAATTAATCGTTAATTCAAGCAATATAAACTATTTTTTTCTGCAACCGACACAAAAGTTGTCCGTTATGATACAAAAATCAGCTCTCAAATTGACGTTTCTATTACTGACACAAAATAAGTATGTTGCTAGGCAACATATTTAGTTCCTAGGAGCTAAAGTTGGACTTTAGCTGAAGTTGAACTTTAGATCCTAGGTACTAAAAAGAATGTAGTGGACGTAATAGGAATAAACAACATTGTTATAGTTGGTCATTTGCGTTGAGACGCATACCTGATTTATTATTATTATTATTATTCTCGTGATGGATAGCTTGTGTTTGAATAATCACGGCAAGCAATAGTTTTTTGTCTCAAACAACGATATTGTTTACCTACATTTGATTAACAAGTAAAACACAGTGTAGTACCAGGGAGAGGAATAAAAGGCCTGTTCGTTTGTGTTTGCTCTACCTGCTGAACTTGATTTTTTTCTATGACTTTCTTTGTTTACATTATGCCATGAAGAGAGACAACTATGGCAAAAAAACAACTTCAGCAAGTTTAGCAATAATACCGAAAGTGCCTAAAAAATCGCTATTATCATTGTTGATATGCTCACTAACCTAACATTTTTCACGCCTTGAAAACCTTACCTGCTGTTAATGCAGGTAGAATATTCTTACCACATGGATTATTTGTCAATATTTGTTGCATTGCATACATATGGCACGGCATTGGTGGTTACTTCACATGTTCATTTGAGTTAATTGTTTCGGTTGCAGAAAAAATAGCATGTTTCATTCGGATCAAAAGTGACTTTGTTCGACTCGCAAATCAATCTACTATTATTCGTTCTTCCTTCTTACAGATGGGTCATTGCGGCAATTGGATGATGACGATATTTTAGCTCAATCGTTGATATTTTTTGTTGGTGGGTCCGAAACAGTTAGTAAACTAATCGGTTTCATATGTTACGAACTGGCAATGAATAAGGAAATGCAGGACAGATTGAGAGCAGAAATCCTCGATGTTTCTAGAGAAAATGATGGCGAAATTACATACGACGCTACGATGAAAATGGAGTACATGGACATGATTATTTCGGGTGAGATAACAATAGGGCTTCGCAGACCAAGACCAATAAGACCAAGACTGATCAGTCTTGGTCTTGGTCTCGAAAAATAAATGTAGTCTTGGTCTTGGTATTGATCTTGATGTTTCAAGACCAAGACGAGACTGGCTCAGTCTTGGTCTTGGTCGTCTTGGTCTTGGATTAAAATGCGTCTAGAAATTTGAATTATTGAATTAAAATACCTATCCAACAGTTTATATGCATATAGTACACTGAGGAAAATTCCTATTAATTATAGTCAGAAATCGGATTACCCCATCAAGAAACCCCAATAGCATAGGGGACAAGCGAGTTATCACCTGGTGATTATAAAGTCGACTTTGCTGATTATAACCCACCTGCGATTATTAGAATAAAACCTTGCTGCCACTAGCGAGTGCATCTGTATGTTGCTATTAGATGATGTTTCTGTAGTAGGTATCTGACTTTTTCTACGACCACCTATGAAAACAGCACAAAACACATTGATTTGTTATTGAGAAAGTGACTCATCGTTTCACTATGACAACATATAACAGTTAAAAAGTCGAAAGTAAAACTCACATGGGTGGAAATATTCGAAAATCGCATAGTAACAGGGTCTATAGATTATGATGTACCAGAATGATTATTATGCTGAATTATGGTGAGTTAAATTAGGGTCAAGTTGATGGAAAGTTAGTGTCGATTTAACATGAGTTATTGTCGTTAATGTTGACGTGATGTTAAGTTGATGAAAAGTTGAAATCAAGTTAATTTCAATTGGAATTTGAATCAATGTCAATGTATTGGCAATTTAGTGATTAATGTGAAGTTAATGTCAATTTGATATTGAGTTGATGTTTATTTGATTTTATGATTTGTTATTGAGAAAGTGACTCGTTTCACTATGACAACATATAACAGGTAGAAAGTTCGAAAGTAAAACTCACATGGGTGGAAATATTCGAAAATCGCACAGTAACAGGATCTATAAATTATGATGTACCAATGAATGATTTTATTATGCTGAATTATGGTAAGTTAAGTTATGGTCAAGTTAATGGAAAGTTAGAGTCGATTTGACATGAGTTATTGTCGTTAATGTTGACGTAATGTTGAGTTGATGAAAAGTTGAAATCAAGTTAATTTCAATTGAAAGTTGAATGAATGTCAATGTATTGGCAATTTAGTGATTAATGTGAAGTTAATGTCAATTTGATATTGAGTAGATGTTAATTTGATTTTGAGATGTCAAAATAATTTTGAGTTAATGTTGAGTTAATGTTGAATAATTATTGAGTTAATGTCAAGTTGATGTTAAGAAAATGTTAGGTTAATTTTGAGTTGATGTTGATTTGATGTTGAGTTAATGTTAAGTTAATTTCAAGTGAATGTAAAGAAACTGTTGAATTTATGTTAAGTTGATGTTAAGTGGATGTTGAGTTGATGTTAAGTTAATGTTGGGTTAATGTTGAGTTCATATTGAGTTAATGTTAAGTTAACGTTAAACTAATGATGCCATTTAAATATTGAAAGTGAAATTGAATAATAATGATAATGATATCACCTTCATGTGATCGAATATGATTAGAAACATGATCCCTACTCTGGTCTTATAAACACTCATGACATGACATGTAATATAAATATTTGTGTTCGTAGGAAAAATAGTGTACAAAACTCGTTGGAAAGTGCATTTCCTGTGCTCGTTTCGTTTCCGCACTCGCCGCTCTGCGGCTCGTGCTAAACGTCCACTCGCCCGAAATATGTCACTTATTTCCACACTAGTTATGTAATATACTATTGCTACCGCTAGTGAGTGCATTTGATAATGGGAGTAGGGCAATGTTATAATCGTAGGTAGGGAACTTTGCTACTCTTGATGGGTGATCATAAAGATAGTTGCATGACCTTTTTGCTGTAGTTATTCAGTTATTTTCCAGGATTGTTGTCATCAAGTAAGGTGAAATTTTGACCGATATCCAATTTCACTTCCCATAATTTCCACCCCGATGTTTGGTGTGAATAGCAATCTATTGATTTCTAAAGAAAGTTTCGGACCAATGATCTTTAGATTCAATAGATCAATTGATTTATGCACCCTCAGGAAAAACAAAAGGTTTTTGAGTAATTAATGGAAAGAAGAATTTTTCTGAAACTTTCTGTATTGTTTTTCAAAAACTAGGCAAGTTATTACAGACGCGTACAGGAAACAAAGTGTCACCATCAGTAAAATCATTCAAATAATTTCATAACCTGAACATTTTTGTTCACAATAAGTTTTTAGACCCCATTCTATAGAGAAGTTCTAGAACATATTTGACAATTTCAAAGTTCCATGGTACCAAAAAGATATAAATGTTCAATGTGAAATATTTGAATTTCAGTCGAAATACCTCGAAAAAACTCGTCACCTTTATCATTCGATCAATCCTGGTAATAACTGAAGCACTCAGATCAACAAATGCATTGAAAGGGACACAGAAGATTTTTTCATTTGTTTAAAACTGTTTCCATTTTATATTTGAATTCAGATTCAGATTTTAAATAATGAATTGAATTCGAGAGGGAAATATTATTCGTAACTGTCGTGTCGTCGGGATAATCCTGTACATGGGTTTGCATCGAAAGAGCCCAACTGTGAATGATTGATCAAGCAAAGATGTCTGACGAATGCTCATATAGAAGAGGACAAAATTAGCAAAATATCGAATAGCGATTAGTAGGCGCTAAATAACCCCAATTAGGTTCGTCAAATATTATTTTCGTGGTAGACTGACAGTTCTTTTATTGGTGGTGAGTGCGGTTTTATGCGATGAACTTCGCAGGCAATTTTAAAAAAATCATGCTGTCCCAGAGTGGCTGCCTAATAGCGACAGTAGTAAACCTACCTATGACAGCAAATTCACTTTCAGCAAAAGTCGTTATATTGCTATCATAGGATTTCAAGGTGCTGCTTCCATTCGAAATTGTATAACGGTAATATGGTTCCTGGTAATGGTTGCAAGAAATATCTCAGCAAAAACTCTAATAGCACAATTTTCCTTAGTGTAGATATTTCGTATTTCTCAGTCTTTAAAATTGTCAATTAGTGCGTATAAAGTATAAGCGAAATAAATTTCTCCTACGATAAGTATATAATTTTGATGAAACCTTGAATGAACAATAAATGAGACCCAAACAGCAAACAGGCCGATACCCCACAGGCCAGAAAAAAGGTTCAAAAGGGTCGGAACTGGCAACAACGAAATATCAAAGTATTTCAAAAAATGTTGAATTCAAACCAGATACTTTTGTATTGAATTTGTTTCCACGACAATTCAATTCAATTCAATTCAATTCGTGATAACAATCATTCCTGAGGCACTGAAATTGGCCTTCCTATATTTATCTTGTTCAAGAATACCTATAACTTGTTTTTCTTGAAAATATCTCTCCTGTAACCAGAACAGATTATCCTTAACTCATCCTAAAAAGCTATATGCCATAATATATCTATCTCACATTTATCAATAATTTTTTTTCGCTTTTTTTTATCTTTACAATACAAATTGAAGACCTCTGTGCAAGAACCGGGCAACTCCAATTTTTTAAAATGTTGGGGAATGGGAAAAACTTAATATTCTTGAGAAACTTGAAAAAAAAATATGCTAAATGATATGAATCCTTCAGAGTTACGTTAGATAAGCTGTATTAACTCAGATAGTAATTCTCATTTACATTGTAGAAGCTAAAAAAGAAGTTTGAAAAAATGGAGTTGCCTGTTCCTTGCCCCAAAAAGACAAAATTCTGGAAATATATTCAAATTCGTGTAATTATTCAGATTTTTCATCAAAAATTAATCATATAACGAGAAATATATTGTAAACACGGCAAAACAACAATATACCTCTGCCGATTCCAAAATATTCTTTAACAAAAAATTCATTGATGTTTCAAAGTACAAAAATGTTTAATCATTTGCCAATTAATTTGTAGCAAATATCTGACTTATCTAAATTCCGGAAGGCAATTGAAGATATATTGAGTACGAAAGCATATACTATTACCTAGAAGAATATTACAGTGACAAATAGTGATTTTATAAATTTATAAATTTTATAAATTCTTTTATATTTTATATTTATATTTATATGTAGGTACGAACTTCTTTCAAACCAATATTTATAATTATTATAGTATTTTACGTCTACTTACTTCAGGTAACTCATTATTTGTGATAGTATAAAATCTAACGCTTTGTCAATAAGTAATTTTTCTTAGACAATAAAGCATATTTTTGATTGATTGATTTGAAACAAATAGTATTTTGAACATAGGAAGAATCGCTGACGTTTCCGGCGTCTTGATCTTCGTAAACATTGCCAGAATTTGGGTCCTCTTCATCAACAGTTATGTTTTTGGAACATATTCACTCCCCGAATCGTGAAAGGGCTCACTTTCACTTTCTGACGACATTCATTGTATTGCATGAAACAAATGGGCAAACTCGCCACACACGATGGAAGACGCGGGAAGGCTTGCCGCCAATAACCTCACTCCGACATCTCCCACTACACGCGTACATTTCGGTGCTACTCCTGGAGTTGCCCGACTAGCACCATCGTGGTTTACATTTCAGTGCAAAAATCGGGTAACTCCTGGAGTTGCCCGACTCTTGCACCTCAATGGCTCATCAGGTAAATCCTTTCCCGTATTAACTTAATAGGAAATTGTTGGATTTGCTTGATTCTTGCACCAAAAGATGCGCAAGAAAAAATTCTATATGTTGAATACAATAACCCAATTTCGGCATGAAATGGAGTTACCCGTTTCTTGCACCGACGTCTTCAATTGTAGTTCTACTGTTGTATACTACATTATTATCTATGTCCATCAAATTATAGTTGTTAGGTTGACTAAGTGTAAGAATAGTTTTATAGTAAATGACTTTCGCCTAATAAAGACCTATTATTATTATCTTCATTTCTCTATCAACACTTACCAACGTATTCAATATTGTTACGTTATTCGGGTGCAGAAGCGAACACGACACTATTTATTTTCGAACTGATTTATTTGAACTAAAGAAACACTAATTTATATCGAACTTATAACTACTATTTATGTAAAACGATTTATAACACGCGGTATATAACTGTCTCTCTGACACTCGCTGTTTTACTCCCCGACGGCAGTTATTCGGCCGTTTATATATGAGATAACTAGACAGGCTTTGGTTCGAGAACCTTCTCGAATGATCTTCCGTCTCCTTCTTTTTGTTCTAGAAGCTTCTTAGAACAAACCTCTCTCTCTAATTGTTCCATCGATTGTTTCCAGAACATTCCAGAATCTTCTGTGACGTTATCTGTCACCGCGGCATATATTGAGTGTTCGGAAATATGCTAGTGCATTGGGAGGTAGGAGAGCAATCTGGTATGCGTGATACAGGATGATCGTTGTACTCCTGCCTTCCTGCTGATGTTTCTAAAGCCCCTCCAAGGGGAATATCATTACAATATTTTTGTTCAATCCATTATAACCATAATGTTTTTCAGAATCCTTGAGAAAATGGCCCATCATGGGTGGAATAGACAGAATATGCACGAAATCGTACAAAATAGAGCCAGTCACTCCAGACGAGCAACCCATTATCATAGAAGAAGGAACCCAAACGTGGATACCCATCTGGTCCATACACCACGATCCCAAATATTTCCCGGATCCGGAGAAATTCGATCCAGAGAGGTTCAATGAAGAGAGGAAGAAAGAAATGTATCCCTACGCTTACAACCCTTTCGGTTTGGGTCCGCGTAGCTGCCTCGGACAAAGATTCAGTTTACTTAAATGTAAAATTATCATTATGCATATCATATCCAATTTTGAATTGGAACCATGTCAGAAGACGAAGGTTCCGTTAGGACTTCTCAACAAAGCTTTTCTGGTCAATCCAGAAGTCGACATCATTGTCAATATGAAGAAATGCACACCTAAGAATAATTAGAGTTACACAGGTTGATTTGGTTGTATTTTATTGGTGATTATCTTCTTCACATTATGTATTTATCGTTTCACTATATACCTCAATAAATAGGGATATGAATGGTATTTTTTGTTAATTTCAGACGTGAAAACTCCTTTTGGGCGCGTTTAGCACTATTTTTGGGTAAATAAAAACATTGGATTTCGCTTCATCATCCCCTCACATCACCTGACGCTTTCCATATGGAGAATACAAACTTTTTTACAAGAGCAACAACAGATGATGGGCGTGTAGTACAGGGTATCCCAATTTGGGCACTTTTGCGGGGTATCTCCCTTATCAGTAAAGATAGAGCATTGCGGTTTTCGCGACAGTGTGCTACTTTTTTATGAAATCAATAATGGCGCAAGCAGAATTGTGATAGCTCTTCCGGTTGTCGAGATACAGGGTGGAATTGAAAAATATCACTTTTCAGTCTCAGTTATCTTTGAACTTATCGAAGAAGTTAAAACTTGTTTTTATAGCGTTTTTCTCGTAGAATCCAGTGACGTAGTTATTTTTTTGCTAGCAAATAAGTCATGGGCGTGTACACCTTAGTAGAACTTTTAACTCAAACCATGTTTATGATGATCCTTTTATACATAAATAATGATTGACGACATAATTCGATCGAAAAATTAACTGGATTTTTTTATTTTTGGACATAAATAATAGTACCTCCTGAAAACGGACCCTCTTATGACGTAGAAACCTCATCTCGCCATAGTTAAAAGAAAATACCAAACGCCCGACGGAGACTGAGGCAACTGATATATTAATTCTTTCAACTGTGATCTCGCGCTAATTCACTCTGTCAGAAATCATGTATCATTCATCTCTGTCTGGAATAATCTTGTTTCAGTATTAGGGTTTTGACGTCACATCATCGCCTCGTTTCCAGAGGTCCGAAAAATCGGGGATTTCAATAATTTTTTATAAAACGTAGGGAGCTCACAGCAAGAAACGGTTTGCGGTGGTGAGCTAGTTTGGGTGAGTTCTATCGAATTATGAAAAACTTTTTTTTTGTGATATAAGCCCATTAATCTGTCTTCTCGTTTAAAAGATTTGAGAACCGTATTGATATCTATATTCATCTCATAAGTTGTTAGGTTGAAGTGTGAGAATAGTTTTTACTAAACTTTCGCCTAATGTTCTGAAAAAAGTTTCAGGGGATGAGAGTATACAGGGTGGGTCACGGTGAATGGCCTATTAAGAGTATCTGGAGAACGAAAAGACAGAACATTCTGAAAATTAGGATGCTTTGATAATTGAACATTCTCTATTCGTCTAAAATGTTTTCATCGATACGCAGTGTTGCCACTTTCTATCAGATACAACTAGCAACTTTGTTATTTCAAATGGAGCACCCTGTATTTCATTGCATTTTTAAATTCTTCCTGGAGAGCTGATTTCATCGATGTATCATACTTGGGGTCAAGCAGAAATGATATATGGTGTTCAAAATCAAGATTTTTCAATTTTAGGATTTTTTCGTGTCAAAACTATTCATTATTGATCAAAACGTCGTACATGTCCCTATTTTAACTTTTGATTCACTATCTACTGGAATTTAATTGGAGAAAATACAGGGTATTTCAAGATTCAGAATTCTGATCACACTGTATCTATTCCAATTAAATGTCAGTAGATAGTGGATCGAAAGTTAAGATAGGAACATGTAAATTGTTTTGATCGATAATGAATAGTTTCAACACAAAAAATCCCAAAATCGAAAAATCTCGATTTTGAACACCCTATATCTCTGTAATCAATCTTGCTTAACCCCAAGTGTGATACATTGATAAAATCAGCTCTTTAGGAAGAATCTAAAAATGCAATAAAATACAGGGTGCTCCATTCTGAATAACGAAATTGCTAGTTGTTTCTGATAGAAGTGGCAACACTGTATGGATGAAAACATTTTAGGCGAGTAGAGAATGTTCAATGATCGAAGCATCCTCCAGATACGCGTTCTCCAGATACTTCTAATAGGCCATCCACCGTGACCCACCCTGTATAGTTTCAATCCTTTACAAATTTTTTGGGTTTCTCTGATCACTGGGAGAAGATTTATCCTCTGGAATGCACTCTCGTCAAATTTCATTGAATTTGCTCCCCTCATTTCTGAAAAGTGAACAAAAATATGTTTTTCGTCGACCTCTACAATAAATCAGATTTCACTTTCTAATTTCCGAATGAAAAACCGACAATTTCCGAAGGCAAGTACTTTTCGTCCGCTGCAGGGTTGCCAGTTTTACTGAATTTTTTGTAGATCTTCTGTTTTGCATTTTGATTTACTGATCTACGATCTAGTGAAACATTAAATAACCTACTGAAAACTATTTTGACAATCATTCATCATAATAATCACCTTTATTATTACCAACTCTCAGTTAATCACATACACTTATAAATTGTCTGATATTTCATTAGTTTTACACTATACCTTAGTGATAAAGGACCCCGCACTAAACTATAGGGAAAATGGCTCTCGATGAAAATCGCTGAATTTTTGGTATGTTGCAGACTTTGATATACTGAAAAGATATTTCATTGAACTAACCTCAAAAAATTGACAGTTTTTTCGATATTGACCTCCAAATGTCATTTTTTCGAGAAAAAAAATATCTGAAAATGGATGAATTTCTGGTATGTTATAGATAGGAATGAACTGATGAAAAAATCCAATTGACCTAACCTCAAAAAATGAAACAATAATCAATAGACAGAGTTGCTGTTTTCGAATTTGTATTTGGCATTAATTTTTTTTTAAATCAATCAAATCCACAGGTGAAGAAAGCCGAAGAGAGAATGTAATAAAATATATATTATTTGAAAGATTATATTATATATACAGTGTGACCCATTTAAGATGGAAGCACCCTTATAAAACTTACATTTTTCAACCGATTGGAATGATTTTTTTTTGTTAGGTAGATATTCAAAAAGTCTATTAGGACACCAAATATCATGAATAAATCTCCATTTCCAGGGCCAACTAATCTGATTTTTCAAGCTCAAAAATCTAAAAAATTACTAGCGATTTTTTTAGAAAAAATCTGACTACACCACTGGATTTGTGACATTTTCAAATGGGTAACATGTAAATTACGTTGAAATGCGTCAATCAATAAAAAAGTTATAAAGGAATGAAATTTGAAAAATATGCCGTTTAATCAACCCATCAATTTTTATTACTGAACAGATTTCGATGAAACTGTGATTAGTAATATTTCAAGACATCCTGAATCCAGTGGAGTATACAGAATTTTCATAAAATTCCTGAACATGAATTGGTGGGTTGATTAAACGGCATATTTTTCAAATTTCATTCCTTTATAACTTTTTTATTGATTGACGCATTTCAACGTAATTTACATGTTACCCATTTGAAAATGTCACAAATCCAGTGGTGTAGTCAGATTTTTTCTAAAAAAATCGCTAGTAATTTTTTTTAGATTTTTGACCATGAAAAATCAGATTAGTTGGCCCTGGAAATGGAGATTTATTCATGATATTTGGTGTCCTAATAGACTTTTTGAATATCTACCTAACAAAAAAAAAATCATTCCAATCGGTTGAAAAATGTAAGTTTTATAAGGGTGCTTCCATCTTAAATGGGTCACACTGTATATATATTAAAGGTTATAGCCTTTCCGAAGTTAATGGTATTGTAGGTATACATATATCTATTTTATTTTGATCATTCCATCTATTATAAAAGTATCGGATACACTTATTCATTGCTTGAAATAATACCAAATATATATTTTATTAATAATCGCAATAATCACCTCTCAGCAACACTATAGCCGCCGATGACGTGACATTGACTTACCGATACCGATAAACACTTCTAGATTTTTATTGCTGAACAACCAATGAGAATATTACCAAATTCTTCATAGAATTAAGAATTTATTTCCACAGTAGGAGTGGCGTGTTGTGTACTGAAGTAAATACAATACATAAATCGTATCGTATAGTATGATTGCAATAAATTGATCGCGGTATAGGACTTCATATAGATTTAGAGGTCAATGACGAAAAAACTGTCAAGTTTTCGAGGTTAGGTCAATTGGATTTTTTCATCACTCCATTCGAATCTACAGCATTCCTGAAATTCAGCCATTTTCAGAGTTTTTTTTTGATTACATTTGGAGGTCAATATCGAGAAAACTGTCAATTTTTGGAAGTAAGGTCAATTGGATTTTTTCATCAGTTCATTCCTATCTATAACATGGCGAAAATTCAACCATATCCGGATACTTTTTTTCTCGAAAAAATGACATTTGGAGGTCAATATCGAAAAAACTGTCCATTATTTGAGGTTAGTTCAATGGAATATCTGTTCAGTATATCAAAGTCTGCATCATACCAAAAATTCAGCGACTTTCATCGAGAGCCATTTTCCCTAGGTTTAGTGCAGGGTCCTTTATATTCAGGGTGTTTCATAATTGGATGTCAATATTTGGGGAAGCGATTATTGGGCCCATTCTTAGAGAAAAGTTTCATATGAACGTATGACCCAAACGTCCCAACTTTCGAGATACAAAGTGATAAAATTCTCAAAAATTAATAAACTGCTGATCACTGGAACCGCATCAAGCCGTTACCACCGATACAACAAGGCCTGCATGCTCCGTGGGTGACGTCACTTAGTGAGGCCTAACCAGCGGCTCGAAACGACAAGCGCTTATAGCGCTATAAGGCGACCGCGTATTTCGATTTTAGTTTTAGATCATCATTGAGCCGATTTTGCTGTTTTTTGAAGGGCTTCCGGTTAAAAAAGGATGCCAGTCGTCAACTGAGCCCTTCTTCGCACCCCATTCGATTTTATTATGGAAAAACGAAGTTTTAAAGCAAAAACCAGGATAAAACACAAATATCCACCTACAGCAACCCATTCGAATTAAATATATTGGCAAAAATTGTGGTGAACTTCACACCTACTTATACAGGGCCCGCAGAACATAAACTTATCGTGAGATTGATCGAAAGAAAATTGTGGAAAATGTATTTTATTTTGATTGACATGCCGTTTGTTACAATAACCTATATTCATCTTGGAGAATTCCTATTACCTGAAAAAATAACCAGTGAATGTTTTCAATTTTCTGTTGTTTGAATTTTCACCCAAGTGGATCGATACACTTGAAACCGTAATTTTTAAGGGTAAAACTGCATTTATCATGCGATGGTTTTTTTTGAAAATTTTTTTCGGTACTCACGTATTTTTGTCTGATAAACCGAATTTTATAATGAAAATGTGAACAAACCACTATTTATTGAGATATTTCAAGAAAAAGTTCGAAATTTCGCCTTTTTATCCCCCTCGTGACATTTGAAGCTACTTGCTCTTATTTTGTCATTGGACACTTTATATACTCATGATGTACTTCGATGGCACACTTTTATATAGAAAATTCAACAGGAAATGTGATTTTTATGGCGAGTTTTTCATATTCAGTGAACAAGCATTCCAGATGACAACCATTTAATCAATAGTCAATCAAAATACGAGATGTCAAATGTCAATAGATTGCTTTCGAATGACATTACACACGCCATTATTTTGAATGATATTCTTCCTTCTTTTCACTAAATATGGATTAATCTCAAGAAAATCATATTTATAGTTTAATTATATATAAATTGTCCAATATGATGAAAAAAGAAGGGTAATTTGTTCTAAATGCCATCCAGAAGACAGGTGAAAAAGAAGGTGAAATTTGGAACTTTTCAGTCAAATATCTTCATGATAAATATCATGATAAATGCAGTTTCACCTTTGTTGAGTAAAGTGTTTGTAGTTCATGTTAATATGATAGTTGCAATTTGATCATTGGAATGAATTCTGCATTCATTGCCACGAGGCAAATGACCGTTTTCAGAAAGAAATTTGAGAATGAGAATTGAAAATGCCCGTTTATTATGAACATTCAACAAAATTTCCTCGAATTCAGAGATGATTTTGTTGACTATAATATACGAATACAAATTAAACTAACTGCACAATCAAAGCTTTTCTATTTTTCCTCTACTCATACTTTTTATGAGAGAGTAATTGTCTTCTATCATTGATTCATCATTATCAATTGAGCTCTGTTTACTACTGAACTTAAATACTTAGATGGAGTAAAATCCTCGCGGTGAATTGCATATATTTACCCACATTTTCGATAGCTTCTCGTCCAACGGGAAACTAAAAGCATGAACTTTTGAACCACCCACATAATTCCCCCAACAAAAGGGAACACAACACTTGAAAGGCATTGATATTTCGCCGATCACAACACAAAATATTCCACAAAACAGTAATTTTTCCGCCAATTATTTTGATGAATAAACAACAAAAGAATTCGGGACCGTTTCAAAAACATACGTGAATCACCGATGAATTAACACGAACTGACGCGTTAGTCGACAAGCGATAAAATAAAACACTGGCCTCACTTGGCGACGTCACGAGCTGTTTACGTCAGAGTCTGCTGGCCTTGTTGTATCGGTGGTAACGATCAAGCACATTTTTGCTATGAATTCAAAATCGAAAATTTTCTCGGAAATTCCATTTATTCGGGTGCGGTTTTGTTTATTCTGAGGATTGATCCATTGAGTATATGACAGATAGACCGCTGATGGGAATACATGGTTATCCTCTGGTAATACAGGGTGACAAACAAACCTCTACAAAATATTGAACAATTCTCCATACTCCCAATCTGATGGAAAATTTTTGAGATTTTTTTCAAGCATATCTTCATAATTCTCAAGCGAATTCTTCGAAATGGTTTCGCAATGCTTTTGGTACAGTGCTTTTTATGGAAATAAAAAGCAGTAGAATAGAATTTATTCTTCAATGAGACCAACAAACCTTGCTTTTCTCACCAACCCTCAACTACTTGTAGATGCGCACAACAATATAACCCCTCCTACTTCAAAATCAATATTTCATCACTTATGGAACATTTTGAAATTGAGGTCTTTTATTGTGAACAAATAAAATCATACTGTGCCAGTAACTTGTTTTCTGCATCAACCTTACTCAATGGCATATTGTTTACTGTTTTCTTCCATCTTTTAATTAGGTATCAACATTTGGTATAGTTTATACAGGGTGAGTCATTAGTGTGGCAAAGTGAGATAACTGCTTTACTATTCGAGATAGATGAATAAAAATTTCAGAGATGATCTGGAATCATGAGCAGCACATTTCCAAATTATTTCGCTTTATACATAGTGACTCAGAAATGCGTGGCGTATCAAAGTTATACTTTTTATTTCGCTTTATACAGGGTGACTCAGAAATGCGTGGCGTATCAAAGTTATACTTTTTCTTATGGGACACCCTGTATTTCATTGTATTCTCGCATTCTCCTTTGTGAGCTGATTCCATCCATGCATCACACTTGGGGTCTAGCGAGAATGATTACAGAGATATAGGGTGTTCAAAATCCAGATTTTTCAACTTTAGGATTTTTTTGCGTCGAAACTATTCATTATTGGTCAAAACGGCTTTCATGTCCCTATCCTAACTTTTGATTTACTATCTACAGATATTTAATTGGAACAGATATAAGGGTGAACAATATGCTGAATCTTGAACCACCCTGTATGAAAGCCGTTTTGACCAATAATGAATAGTTTCTTGAACACCCTATATCTCTGTAATCATTCTCGCTAGACCCCAAGTGTGATGCATGGATGAAATCAGCTCACAAAGGAGAATGCGAGAATACAATGAAATACAGGGTGTCCCATAAGAAAAAGTATAACTTTGATACGCCACGCATTTCTGAGTCACCCTGTATAAATCGAAATAATTTGGAAATGTGCTGCTCATGATCCTAGATCATCTCTGGAACTTTTGCCTATCTATCTCAAACTGTAAAGCCGTTATCTCACTTTGCCATACTAATGACTCACCCTGTATAAATCAGACTCTTTGTTATGAAAATTGTAGTTTTTAAGAAACAAATAAACTGATTGATTGATTGATCAGTAGAATAGAAGTAGAAATAATTACTTAGCGTTTTTGAAAACATTTTTATTTAAAAAATATGGTCTAGTATACGATATTGTCAACTAAATATAAACCTAAAATTAAATTAAAAATCATCACAAGAACTTTACTCTAAGAACCAAGAAAGAAAAACAATTCCAAGAACAATCAATATGACAACTCACCTCCTATTGAACAAAGCCTTGGCCCTCTCCGTCAACTTTCTCACCCTCCCCCTACTACTCACGTTCGTAAGAAACCCACCGTCATGATTCACCCCCAAAGTAGTCCTACCCCCACTACCCTCACTGTCCGAGTTCTTCTTCACCCTCTTATTCACCCTACTTGAATCCCTGTCGCTCTCCGAACTATCCCGCTGTTGGACTTTCTTCCTCACAGGCCTCCTCCTCAAATTGTTCCTCCTATCTCCAGTCTCCTCCTCGCTGGAGCTGGCCGAAACGTCGAGATCATCCTCAGACGTGGTCACGTGTCTGCTTCTGCCCGCCCGCGGGCGGTATTCCTCTTCCGAGTCCTCGTTTGTTTTCGCCGCTAGGGCTTTATCTAGTGTGCTTTGGCTGGTGTTGTCCGATTCCGTGTTGGTCCTGCTATACAGGATGTTTAGCGGGGTGTCGTCGTCGTCGCTGATAGGCGCTTGCGTAGACACCAATTTGGAGAGGACTTCTTCTTCTTCGTTTGAGGATGGTGATGAAGATGATGTGGATTGGGAGATGGAGATGTCCGAATCGGTGCCGTTCGTTTTTCTGCCGTTTTTTCGCCGCCTGGAGGATTTCCAGTTGGACATTATTTCGGTCATGCGGTCTTCGAATAAGTTGGACAGTCGGACGGTCATCTCGTATATCTATAAAAAAACTTCAAGTTGTCTCTTTTTCTTTATCTTCGATGTTAATTGAGAAAAACGACGAATGGATTTCGGAATAGATAAAGGGCAGTAAAACGAATTCGTGAATTCAATTTAATTGTAGCCTCTTGAATTGCCTCTCTCAACTCTTTCGTTTTTAGAGATATGACAAACTTTCGAATGAAAAAGTTTTTCAAAACGACCCAAACCTTTTTTTATGTAGTTGTGTTACATACCGATCAATTAGTTTTCCTGGAAAGGAATTCAACTCTAGTTTTTTCAATTGATCACCCTATATATTTTTGATACTTTGATAGAGCCTCCTCGTCTGATTTCGAAAATACAGACTTAACCGAAATAATATATCGATATTTCAACCACAGATTTTATTGAAAACACAGTAAAAAAAATTATTTAACATGGGTCCCGAAATAGCTCCCTGGGGGTTATACCCATCTGAAGGAGATTTTATATGAGTATTTTCGAAATTCTCTGTGATGAAATAACCAAATTTTGTATATGTACCTTACTTTTTATTCCCCTTTCTGAAAAAGTAAGAAATATTCCAAAATTTTGATCAGAGGGGTGGAACATTTTCCTTCAAACTTCTTCCTTAGACAGATGAATTGTCAAATTGGTGAATGACATTAGTTAGTCTTATCAATACTTAACCTAGAAGTAATGTCATTGTCAAGAGTTGTAAGAATTTTAGAGCTCTGCCAAGTACAGGGAAATCAAAATGGAATACACGTTTGAAGAATACACAGATATGCATTTCATCTATGGTGAAACCGGTAGGAATTCAAGAGCCACTGCTGAATTATATCAGAATACAAACATCATCGACGATACGAATATAGTACAAAATTTTACCTACTAGCAAAAACGCTGATTATTTGATCAAAAATATGGGTTGGACGTATACATATTTCTCGGTTGTCACTCATTCTTCAAACTGTCAACTTTGATGCGTTCATTTCAATTTGAGATAAATTTATCAAAAAAATTCCGATCACAAATTTATTGATCCATTTATAAAGATTGCGGAAAATCAAGCAATTCATACTTCAGTATCTGCTATATTTATGATCAATTAGTTCTTATTTCTGTTTTCTTCGACTAAAACAATGGACATTGAAATTGTGTTTTCACTTTTCACTCATTACGATACTAGAACCAGTGTCGTTATGTTCAACATTACATATTCGTTAGGTAAACACAATTGTGGGGCAAGCAGAACGATAAGAGATAACGATACTGAGGAGGAAATTCTTGACTTGAGTACTCGGGCAATACAGGTACAGTCTACAGGTAGTCGAGTAGCACATAAACAACAATTGTATTAGTTACACTTACAGACGGTGATAGCCCTAAATGCTAGTGATGATGGTCCCCGTAGGGCTTTTCGTGAATGTTATTTGGGAAATACCAGGAAGCGAATGACTTTAATATATATGTATTATTCACCGATGAGGCATGTTCCACAAGAGATGGATATTTCAATAGCAGAATTGCCATTTAAGGGATGAAGAAAATCGTCATGGTATGTTCCGAAAAGGCTACCAACAGAAGTTTGCTGTCAATATTTCGGCAGGTATTATCGAGAATCATATTGTGGGACCATATCTTCTTCCTCCTCGTTTGAATGGACAGTTCTACAGAATATTTCTAGATGAATTTCTACCTGGTTTACTTGAAGAAATACCTATACCGGGTGACACAGGCTATCGGGCCACCCCTGTAACTCCTGCATTCGTCAACGGATTTTTCTGAAATTCGGTATAGTTATATAAGCAACTATTTCGGATTTGATCACATTACAATCCAATATGGCGGACTTCCGGTTTTTCTGGGAATGCCAGCAATTTCGTTTTTTCAAGTTCAACAGGTCAAAACAAGTGCAATCTTGATGTCAAATGTCATTTATTCCACAGCCTACCTAGTTGAAAAATTATTCTAACTGCAAGGAAATTCATAAACTAGTTGTTGATTTTTGAAGGTATACAATTTGTTACTGCACCGAAAAACAAAAATGATATTTCATTTTGTTCCTTGATGTATGTTCTAGAGAAACGGGTAGGTGGCCCATAGGGGTTCCATTTGAAAAAAAATAATTTTTGATCAAAAAGTGATGTGGCTGAATTGATTCCTGGATAAGTGACACGAAAAATAATTTTTCAGAAAAAATTATGTTCTTCTGTTATGTGTGACTCATTGTGAATAGTCTTGACCACATCTCATTTATCCACGTGGTAAAATGAAAAAACAATTTTAATTTAATTTTTTTCGAAAAAATGACATTTGAAATTAAGATTGCACTTGTTTCGACCTGTTGAACTTGAATATGTAAAAATATACAGGGTGTTTCATTTGAAAAAACAAAGTTGCTGGCATTTCCAGAAATACCGGAAGTCCGCCATATTGGATTGTGATGTGATCAAATCCAAATATAACTGTACCGAATTTCAGAAAAATCCGATGACGAAAGCAGAAGTTACAGCGGTGGCCCGATACCCTGTGTCACCCGGTATATTAGTCCGTCAAAGAAAAAGGTATATCAGCAAGATGAAGCAACAGGTCATTCTCAGCATACAGTCCAGTTTCATGACGAGAATTTCTCTGATCAGAGGATATGTAGATATGGTCCCGTTTATTGGCCTGCACGTTCTCCCGATTTAACTCCCCAAATTTTTTTCTCTTGGGGTACCTCAAATCCATAGTCTATTCTACACCTATAGAATCTGTAGATTCAACAGCTAGACTTTTAGCAGCAGGCATGGTAATCCAGAATACACCAGACATCTTCCGAAATAAGCGACAGTCCATGATCAGGAGATGTTAATTATGTATTGAACAAAATGGAGGTCCATTTGACATTTGAACATTTGCTTTGAATTCAATTTTTGCATTTCCTTCAGCGCATAAATATTCTATTCGCCAAATAATCTATTAAAATAATCAAAATGTTGCCATGGTTTTCCTTGATTGAAAACTGTTGTTTTAATAATTTAATGGTTCTAACAAATTTAAGATGGCTTGCGACAATTAACCTCCAGTTTGTCGATTTACTTCTGACTCACCCACACAATGTGTTGAATTTTTTCGACATTCAAAAATATTCCCGAGGTTGAAAAGTAATATCGATATCTCCTATAATATCAGCATTATGCGATTGTGGTATGCAATAAATTAGACCTCGACTCAATATTACCTCAAGACGTGTTTTGAGTTTTTCGCAAATATCTCCGGAACTTCTACATTTAGGCATGCAAAATGTTACTACTTTTAGGTTGAGTATCGATAATCCCAACTAATTTGATAATTCATCTGTCTGAGAAGCATTTTGAGGGGAAATGTGGCAACTTACGACCCTTACTACGCCACTGGTTGACGAAATTCAAGAATGGAAACTCCCTGTGATTACTCTGATTAATCTTCAGGTTTAAATATTTTTTCTACATGAATTCTTGAGAAATTTTGAGAAATTTTAACTTTTTTCGTACTTCCGACACCCTGTATCTCATAATGGATGTAGTTTAGGACATACGTTGAAAGGAACTTTTCACCTCAAAATGAGGTGAAGAATCCGTGTACGAAGTTTGTCAGTCTTATTCTGACTCACCTTGTATATCAAATTATTCATGTTCATAATTTATCTGAGAATATTCCTTTTCAAGAACAAGGGAGTTTCAAACTGTCTTGCGCAGTTCATCCTTGACATTATTGAAATCAGTTAAACCTTGAGGGCGATGATTATTAAAATATCCAAGCAAGTTAAGAATAGGTTGAGACGGCAAGGCAGTGATGTGCCTTGAAAGCTATGGCGTTTGAAAAAAACTGTTAGTTTTTACTTTTGTTCTCTGATTTATTAGAAGTTCCACTTTATTCCTTCAAATGAAACTACCTTTTTATTACCTGAAGTGAATAAAAACCTTCACAGTGATTTATCTATAACTCAAATTGAAATAATGAAAGTCAGTGTACTTACCCTAGTTTTTTTATCTGGAGTGTATTGCCAAGAATTTTGGAAAATCAGTCTCATATCGATACAGAACTGTTGCGGTAGTTCGTATTCGTTATTTTTCACTTTTTCTCTCACTGTGCCGAGGTCCATCGGGTTTTGTACTATTCGATGATAATCTGAAAATTCAAATAGTGTGAGATTAGGAAAGTCCAAATAATTTTTATTTCAAGGAAAGCACATGGTGTCCATTGTACGTCTATTTTTGGTCCATTTCAATTTCAAACGTCCATGGACATTGAATGGACATCCAGTACGTACAAACATGGATGATCATTGGATGATTCAAATTGGATGATACGGATTGTTCATCTATGGGATGTTCATTCAACGGCCATTTTGAGTTCAAGTATACATGAATGAAGAATGAATGAGTATATTAAGAATTGTTAGAACAAAATATATATTCGAATATATTTGAAATCATTTAAAGTCTGAAGGTTAATGGTCGTTAAATGAACGTCCATTGTACGTTCAGAGATGGACGTGAGATTATTGATTTTCTGCCACGATGGCGGGAAGGCAAGAATTGAAGGTCGGATTGGTCGGTATTCAAATACAGAAGGTCAGTAAACGAGACGAGCTCTAAAGTAGCGACTGGCATGATGCTAATTATAGTCAGTTAGTAAATGACCGTGAGAATGATGTATTGTGCTGTGTTTGTGATGGATTATGGAATGCAGAATATTCTGGACCAGTTCATTCAAAGCAGGTATGAGAGCATATATGTCCGATTGCGTCTTTTTATCGCTAATATAGCTATCAGTTATTATTTTATGCTTTATCAACCTACAGGTTCTTATTTTTTTTATAATGGGCGACTTGGAAGAACAAGTGCCCAGCAATGTGATATTGTTTCGAATAAGGCTTTATTCAGCAGTCAGCGTTGAGCTGAACCGGATTTGGGGTACGGAAAATTGATTTTTCTACAAGCGTGCGTGATTCACCCTATACCCGCACGCAATTTAGTTTGGGAAGTGTCATTTTCCCGCAACATTGCGGAAACATTTTTCCCGCACTAGTGCGTAAAAACAAAGATATGATGAAATGGCAAAATATTAAGTAAAAGTATGTATGTTCAGAATCATCCATCAAATTGTACTATTAATTGTGAAAATTAAGAAATATTGAAAAATAAAAATTGATTAGAATAAAAATCACCCTATAGATTTGGATTCATCTGAAGAAAAACGATTATTGTTGTCATGCCAAGCAAACCTCAAATGAGTTTGTAATTGTCGAAGTGACAGACACAGCGTCATCATCGATTTAGTGGAATTGCCACAATGTGATCAAAAACTTTCCGCTATAGGGAGGCGATACAGATGCGTTATTGCCAACGAAGTCTCAACAACAGCATGAGAAGTTATACACGCGTTTTATTGAATGGTGCAACAATTAAGAAATGAAAATACCGAATAAAGAAGAAGTATGTTTGGCTCATCTCCTAGAGATGTTTGAATCCTAGAGACCAAACACCTCATGGGCCTGATGGCTTCCTCGATTAACCTACCAACATAATGGGTCAAACTGTAAGTTCACAATAGCTAGAGTCACTGGATGGTATTAGTTTGATAAGAGTTCGGACACAGCTGAACTTTTGTCCTTTTCTATTTTCTATAATACAATGGTTTAAGTGAATAAAAGCATAAGACATATATTCTGCTCTTTGTCTTTTCAATTTCCCTAGTAGCGCCTGATTGTCACATAAGATTTTAGAGGTTATATTTTCTGTCAAATCAATCATAGCCGTAGATGGACTATGGGTATAGGGTACAAACACCCACTTCACTTTATACTGATACACTTCTAGCAGAACAACTGTTATATAAATGAAAAGAATGCATGTAACAACATTTTAATATTAGGAAATATACACATATGGGATGAACTTATAGCTATAATTCCTTATTGTATGTCAAACTGTCCGGTGATAAGTTTAAAACATGGAGTTATTAATATTAAATTAAAGGTAGGTATTCTCAATATACAGGAAGTAACATAAGTACTACCAAATACTTGGTTTTGTAAAGTTCTCAGCAACTTCACCTAGCACCCAGCGTAATTAAGGCCCTTACAATAAATTCCTTGATGCATAAATTACTATACACTTCTCACTGTTAAATTTTGAATTCGATCGGCACCAAAAACGCCATTCAATAATAGATATCACGTTGTAGTTTCCTTGCTTTTCAGATAGTTTTGTTTTCAAATTTTCAATTTCATTATGTAATTTTACGATCATTTCCTCTTTCCATGATTATTTTTTTTTGTAAATTGATGGAACAGCAGATTCTCTCAAACAGATTTTGAAATCTTCTGTTTGAAACTGGGCCTAAAATATAGTTTCATTCTTATTAGATGCTGTTATAAGAAGTGAATTTTAATGAGTAGGTATATCTCACAAATTTCGCTCGTCTTCAAATTGATTATTCACCCAGGCCGTTTCATATCTTCCTTCCATAAGCGAATGGTTGATATATGTTTTGGAAAATTGAATAAATGATATCCATTTTGTTCAGAATTGGCACCATTTATTACACGGCAAGTGATTTCCGTAGCTGCTTTTTTCTCGAAAGTATAATTATGAAATTTTATTACAATTCTGACGTTTATAAAATTTATTGTCAAATTCAAACAATTTTGAATGAAAAAGAGCGGGACGACTATGGTGCTCTTGTCACAATGCAAGGTGTGTAACTTAATAAATCTAAACATTCAAAAACCCTAACCGTTGTCATATCTGTGTCCGAACTCTTATCAAACTAATACCATCCAGTGACTCTAACAATAGCTATTACTAATAATTAGTAGATAAAGAATATATTTCTCTTGGTACTTGTTCCTATTTGCATGAATAAGTAATTGAATAAAATATATAGATATAGAAGTACCCACCAATCAATCTTGATGATTTTGATGGGCATCCATTATTCGTACACATATAAACATCCACTATAAGTCCAAAGCGGTTGTTTATGAATAGTATATTATGCAATAATTCGTCATTTGAAATCGTCACAAATACTTATTTCAATAATTAAAATGGGCACCTTCGAAAAACGCCAGTTCTTGATGATGTCATACACCTGTATGTGGCAATTATGCGGGAATAATCACATCTTCCGACGCTGCCCAAATATGACTAGTAATTACCTTATGAGATCCAATATGACCAATGACAACTGTATTTTCTCGAGTATATTCATATTCACAAAAGACAATGGTTCCACCTAGAGTCACTGGATGGTATTAGTTTGATAAGACTTCGGACACAGATATGACAACGGTTAGGGTTTTTCAATGTTTACATTTAATGAGTTACACACCTTGCATTGTGACAGGAGCACCATAGTCGTCCCGCTCTTTTTCATTCAAAATTGTTTGAATTTGACAATAAATTTTATAAACGCCAGAATTGAAATAGAATTTTATAATTATACTTTCGAGGAAAAAGCATTTATGGAAATCACTTGCTGTGTAATGAATTGTGCCAATTATGAAAAAATGAATATCATTTATTCAATTTTAAAACACAAATATCAACCATTCGCTTATGGAAAGAAGATATGAAACGGCCTGGGTGGAAAATCAATTTGAAGAAGAACGAAATTCGTGAGGTACACATTAAAATTCGCTTCTTGTAACAGCATCTGATCAAAATGAAACTATATTTCAGGCCCATTTTCAAACAGAAGATTTCAAAATCTGTTCTGAGAAAATCTGCTGTTTCATCAATTTACAAAGCAGACGATTTCAAGAACAAAATTCCAGTATTATCATCACACAAAATACAGAACAAAATAATCATGGAAAAAGAGGAAATGATCTCAAAATTACATAATGATATTGAAGATTTGAAAACGAAACTAAGAAAAGCAAGTAAACTACAACGTGAAATATTATTGAATATGGCGTTTTTGGTGCCGACCAAATTCAAAATTCCACAGTGAAATGTGAATAGGTATTTATGTATCAAGGGAATCATTATAAGGTCCTCAATTACGCTGGAGGTTATCGTTTTGGAAATATTTTCTATGTAGATCCATGTTACATAGCTCCTAGGGCGGTAAATGAAGTTGCTGAGAACTTTACAAAACCAAGTATTGGCTAGGTCTCGTCAAATTAAACTAATGAACTACTTTTTTCCTATGAAATGTTTATCAAACCATGATTTGTTCTCTGTATTTCAACACCCTGTATCTGTATAAATGAAGCATTTCCGGACACAAGCTTATATAGACTTTTTTTCTCGAAATTGTCTCAGGAATACTTCACTTGAACGTACTTATGTTACTTTCTGTATATTCCTGAAAAACCTTCCTTTAATTTAATATTAATAACTTCATGTTTTATACTTATCACCCTGTAGTACAGTTTCACATACAATAAGGAATTATAGCAATAAGTTTATCCATATGTGTATATTTTCTAATATCAAAATGTTGTTACATGCATTCTTTCCATTTATATAACAGTCGTTCTGCTAGAAGTGTATCACTATGAATTGAAGTGGGTGTCTGTACCCCATATCCATTGTCCATCTACGACTATGATTGATTTGACAGAAAATATAACCTCTAAAATCGTATCTGACAATCAGACGTTACTAGGGAAATTGGAAAGACAAAGAGCAGAATATATATCTTATGTTTTTATTCACTCAAACCATTGTATTATAGAAAATAGAAAAGGACAAAAGTTCAGCTGTGTCCGAACTCTTATCAAACTAATACCATCCAGTGACTCTAGTTCCACCTGATGCGATTTAAAAGCTAACAAATCGTATGAATTTGTTTTTATATCTTACTCTCATAGAGGGCGCTTTCATGGTTCGTACCGAGTAGTTTTAAGCATAACTTTTTTGAGGTTCGATCAATCAATTCAAATTTAATGTGAAGTTGAACAGTATTCGAATTGACACCAAAGTGGTACTTTTAGTGAAAGTTGATATTAATTATTAATTTATTATTATTAATTAATTATTATTAATTTCCAAAAAATGTTTGATTTGAAAAAAAATTATGAAGTGGTGATAACTGTTGCTGGTAGAATAGAATAGAATAGAATATATTACATCCATGGTATACAAGTTATGGACACGTCATACAAAGAAACAAAGAAATTACAAACAAAAATTACAAGGGATAAAATCATTAAAAATCAAGAAAAATTAAAATTAAAATAGCACCAGTTGTCTACAAGAGTCGTTGATCAACTCACTGAAGTGGTTGATTCTGTAGAGACTCATTCTGACAAGAATCTTTCTCAACGTTTTTTTTTTTAAAACGATCCAACGGCAGAACTCTGATATCTGTAGAAAGAGAATTGAAGAGAGATATTGCTATGGATTTGCTCTTTTCTAATCTCCTTTTATGAGGTACAATGTTATGACCATATCTGGTACTATAATCATGAATGTCTGAATGCGTAGTGAATGGATGTATATTTTTTCTAACATGTATGAGATTTTCGTAGACAATTTGTGAATATAAGGTCATAATACCTAAAACTTGAAAAAATGGTTGGCAATGTCCAGTATAACTGACCTTTGCAATGCTTCGTACATTAGGGTATTAGTAAAACAACAATACATTTCGACTGCTGAACTTTATGAATCACAAGAATAACATTGAAATCAATTAGACTGACAACATCGACTGCACAGTTTGGTTGTATCTTGAGGTGAAAGTCGATGCTACATAAATAAATTCCCGGCAAGAATTGCTAGACAAAATTGAAAATCGCTTGAATGACCTAACAGCTGGTCGTCAACCGTTTAGGATAATTTGTTGATTTGCTTCACTAAGACATTCCACTATAAACATTTCGCTCTACCCTCCCATAAAAAATTATCACTTCAAGAACTCACCATGATATAAAACTGGATTGACCGGTTCTCTGAATGGTTCCGAATCCGGATTGTCCCACAAAGCTTCCACGAGCTTCAGCGATTCCCCTTTCCAGTCGTAGATCGGTCTGTTGATCCTCTTGTTTTTCACGGAAACACGTAAATTTTTACTGGTAGATGGCGGCACGTCGATATCCTCTTCGCTGGCTCCCGAATCGTACGCATCAACTATTCTATGGTACAAAGTTGGTACATCCACGCTATCGGTACAGTTTCTGAAATCCAAATATTGACAAATGGAAAAGTGTCCAAGTTACCACATTATATTTTCTAATAATAGTACAGTGTCCATTTTGTGCGTAATTCTTCGATATCTCGAAATCCATTATCGCTACAGAAAAACTTTTGGAAACAAGCTTCTTCCGTTACTAAAGGTTTCCATTTCAAAAATATTTTCATCAATACTGGGTGTTTTATAAAAGCGTGACGACTCGGAGACGAGTATTTTCAAATAGAACACCCAGGATTTTTTATGAATAATTCATTCCACAAAGCTTTAGCTCTACATCACTGTGAAAAAAATTGAATTTGGTTGTGGCGGTGCCAAGTTATTATTGATCAACCTATTTTTACCACTATTGAAGGGACATATCGAATTGGGTATGGTTTGTTCATTTATTCAAATTTTGAAAATATTTTTGGCAAGGTCTCACGTACACCAATTCAGTAATTTTGCGAGATGATCCTTTACGGGGTGCTAAAATTTACATTTTGAATATTGTAAGATTCAGACAACGTTCATGAGAATTTTTCAAATGGAATACCCTGTATTTTTCATCTCAGATTTATTTCGACATCATTCGCCTTTTCATCGCTGAGAAAAAATCAAAATCGGCTGCGGCGTTTTCCAGTTATGAGTAATTTCCTTATGTTTATCACTATCTCAGGGCTACTTATAAGGCGTTCCTTGATTCAAATACAAAAAATGAAGACTTGGATTTCGAGAATGAGGAATTTTTTTTTTTTGAATTTAGAACACTTTTATTGTCGTTATTCCCAAAATCTAAATCTCCATTTAACTTGAAGGAGGCAAACTCTACATAATGATACAAACAATATTTCTATACTATGTAGGTTTCGGGATGGAATTCAGCGAAATTTTTAATAAATTCAAGGTATACTTGATCGTGGCGATGTTTGACAGGTCATCACACAAATAATAGTAGTGTATTTCGAAAAATTAATTAATAGTCTGCAAAAAATCTGTGAAAATAGCATTTTGGATCAATTTGTCAAAACCCACTCTGATTCAAATTGAAACTTAGAGAGCCTGTTAATGTTCCTATTGTAAAAATATATATGAATGGCGAATAAGCAAATTTGATTACAACGCAATATTTCCACAATACAAATGAATGAACGAACTACGACGTACAAATTACCCCGAAATAGTAGTAGAAATAATGGAAATTAGTCATAACTTGACAACGCCGACACCGATTTTGATTTTTTTTCAGCGATAAAAAGGCGAAAGATGTCGAAATAAATATGTGAATGAAAAAACAGGGTGTTCCATTTGAAAAATTTCAATGAATTTCATCTGAATCTTGCAAAATTCTAAATGCAAAATTGAGCACCCTGTTAAGGAACATGTCGCAAAATAGATGGATTGGTATACGTGAGACCTTGCTACTACCGTATGCCGAAAATATTTTCAAAATATAAATAAATGAATATACCATGCCCATTTCAACATGACTCTTCAATAGTGGTAAAAATAGATTCATCAATTATAACTTGGCAACGCCGCAGCCGAATCCAATTTTTTTACAGCGATGTGAAGGTAGACCTCGACGAAATAAATAGCGAATAAACAATACTGGGTGTTACATTTAGAAAAACTCGTCTCCGAGTCGTCCCGATTTTATAAAACACCCAGTAATGTTGAGAATATTTTTGAAATAAGCAACTTTAGTAACTAAAAAAGTGTTTGCTTCAGTTTTTCTCTATAGGTTATGGCTTTCGAGATATCGAAGAACTACGCACTAAATGGGGGGGGGAGGGTGATTCTGAATGAGAAAACATGAAATTTATTTCATATATACTTGGGTCCGGAAATGCATAGTTTTTAAGATACAATGTGTTGAACTTCTTTTGGAAAAAATCGTTTTTTATGAATATTGTCACAAATGAGGAGATATTTGAAGTTAAATTCCAAAATTCTTATAAAATCATATTGGTTCGAAGTCATTGAACGTTCACGTATCTGTTTATTATTTCCAAAATTATTGAACCACGAACTTTCGATTAATAGTTGAACCTAAACACAGGCGTGACAATGACTTCACCTGACTTCCTCACTGTCACGTTTCCAAAATATAGATTAAATATATAAAAGGCGCGAGGAAGCCAGCACAGGCATCATTCGATCATTCCGATCATTCGATCATTCAAGCATTCAATCAGTTTCAATCATTTGCCACTGTGCCCGAATCTTCGGAGTTCGGGCAGAACAGAAGATGCCCTTCCTCAGGCTCCCAGAAATGCCTCTTAAATTTGTACATATAGGGTAAGTTAAGTTTTATTTATTGTAATTCATTTCCAAGAATAAATGTGTGTATATGTGTTGTTTCAAAACCCTTTTGAGTATTATTTATTATTACCACTTTTGAAGTTCATTCTCTAAAGGATCTAGAACACAACTGAGGCAACCCCCGCCTACAGTTTGTGACAATATTTCAAATTTCCTTCCACTGATTATCTTGAAATTTAGCAATGATATTCTTTGTCATGAGGGGCTGATTAAGCCATTTCAAAATTGGAATTGTGAAATCCAGTGGCGTCCCGGGGGCACCTCACCGAATATTATCGTCGATAAAATGTGCGCCACTGATATTTTGAAATTCTTTATCTTCATATCCTGATGATTAACTGAAAATACAACATTTTGATCTCCTGAATTATTTTGATATTTTGCTCCGTTTCCGTGGAAGAAAATAAATACCAATTTATTGTATAAATTTCTGCAAAACATTGCTTCAAAAACAGGGGTGAAATTAAATGTGTGATCCATGTCCATGAACGTAGAATAAGAATGAAAATTGTTTTTTTTTTTCAAATATTGTATAATACATGTTCGACACACTTTGTATTATCGAAAACTACGCCTTCCTGGACCGAGAATACATAGTTCTCAACATACAGACTGCAGAGTGTGTCAAACATGTATCAGAAATATTTGAATATAACGAATCTTCATACTTATTCTATGTCTATGGACATTTTTTATTTTCACCCCGGTTTTTGAGAGAATTTTTTGGCACAAATTTATGCAATGAATTCGTAATCATTTTTTTCCATGAAATAAAGCAAATTATCAAAATCATTCAAGAGACCAAAATGATATATTTTTAGCGAGATTGTTAGTTGGCCAATAGGTTAGGAAGATACAGAATCGAAAAAATCGGTGGCGCACATTTTATTGACAATAATACTTGGTAGGTTGCCCCCGGGACGCCACTGGATTTCATAATTTCAATTGAATTATGGGTATATTAGCCCCTCATGACAAAAAATATAATTGCCAAATTTCAAGAAAGTCGGTTGAAGGACATTTGAGAAAAACATAAAAGTTTCAACACACTTTATGTTGAAAACGATGCATTTCCGGACCCACGTACATATGAAATGAATTTCTTATTTCATCATGTAGAATCACCCCTTTGATTTTTTGCGCATAATTTCCGGACACCATGTATAATAATATTGAATTACCGAGAAATAAATGATCAGTAATTAATTCTGCTGCGTGAGAGATTCGGTAACAAAATTTCATATATTGAAGTTTAGAGTTGCTTTCAATATGATGAGAAGATGAACCCTACGACCTATTCTGCGTAGATGTCGTTTTATTTCCGAAATATGAGGAACATTAAATAACAAAGTTGTCTAAAATCCAATGTCTTCATAGTTTCAATTTCAAATAAACCATAACATCTGTTATCAAAATATCATCATATTTTTAGATGAAACTTGAAAAAAAAAAAACATATATCTGATGACTTAAGGTACATGTAAAGCGACAAATTTCGCGTTTCTGATCTGTCAGATGTCGCTAGTGCTCCAGGTGTTACTTGATGTATGCAACCATAATTACCCTACTTTTGTGTTTCATAGGGTAAAAATTTTGCAGAACCCTTCCGAAATATGCAGATTCCTTCGTTGTCTCTGTAAAATACATACCATTGTTGCCATAGCTGGTAATAGGTCTCAGACTTGCGATATTTTTTCGCAAATTGCATGGTATATTATACTGATATTGCGCGACATTATAATTATCTGATCTTTATTGTCTCCGGTGGTTGAAGGAGTAGAATTGAATTTTATATTAGCATCTATGAGAATATACATGTATATTTCGTGAGGATTCGATGCAATTAAAAAAGGCGACACATAAACACACAATAAATATAATAACAATTTCAATACATACTGAGACGATGTGTTGTCATAGCGCGAACGCATCGATGAAAAGATCGGCAATCGCCTTCAAGGTCATTTTTATTTCTCGGGCGCAAGGCGGCTAGGCGGAAGCTTTGACTTTGAGGTTCGAAGCGATGCGCTAATGAGCGTCGGCGTCGGCCGCCTCTTCTGTTTCGGGTATCGGGTATTTAGGATATTTTACGAGGGTTAATTATTATTATGAATCGTTCATTTTTCAGTGATACCGTTCGCTACAGGGGTGAATGGAGGAACACTAGTGTGGCTCATATACTTATTTGTTTGTATATGAATGGAATATATGGAATTGGTATGGAATGATAATGATATTTATAATATACACGGTGGTCCAAAATTTCCTTCCGATGTATTTCTGGGGGAATACATTCGTGATGACATTATTGTAATTTTTCAAGTGAAAACTTTAGGCGCGTTCAGCACTTTGTTGGGTGAGGAAAAACCAAAAAACATTGAATTTCCGTCCCGATCCGTCCGTCCGAACCCGTTCCGACCTGTCGCCGAAGTCACGACTGAACGCGAATGAACATCAAAAAATCCGAAGAGTATCTTATTCCATCCTTGATTTTACACTAGTGTATTTTGTAATAATTATGATCAGATTCTATTCAAAACTGGTATAGGTATCTAGGGGTTTTCGGGGATCGACGGAGATTATGATTTTTCTGTCAGAATTTGAGAATACAAGATGGCGGAGCCAATATGGCAGACGAGTTTTGTAATTATGGCCCGACTGTATTCATAATTGGTATCTGGG